TTTATCTTGACATCACCTGAAAGGTGGAGATATATATAGAGAGAGATACGTAAAGTAAGTCATTAATTGTTTCACAGCTGTAAAAGCTACTGGTTTAAATGGAAAGCACTGTCAGAGTATTCCAGGCTGTACATGGTGAATGTTCTGCTCTCCACAATGTGCTGGTAAAATAGTCCCAGCTCGATGTATTCTCAGATAGGTCCATGGTCCAGTGTCTGGAGATCCAGGTCACGGAGCATTCCCTGCTCCTCTCTGGCAGACACCATGGATCCCATGTTATGACACACAGTTATATCACAGGGAGTAGGAAAAAGAAATGTGTCCCAGGATCAAACACTTGCATCCACAAGGGCCCGAGCACTAAATTACCCAGCATGTGCCATATTGTAACAGTTTAAACATTATATTATCTGCCGCCTACTAAGCCAGGACTTGTCGGGCACATTGATAGCCACAGCTGATGGGAATACCACAGTATGGAGATAGTATGGTCTGATCAGTTCCTCTTATGTCCATAAAAATTATAAGCAGAATTTAATGATTTAAAATGTGAATTTTGTGTACATTAAGTTTATACTTACATTGCTGCAGGCGTTTACAGAGTGTGCTGAGTGAATGACTAAACGCTGGCCTATGTCTATTGAAATACTTTTTTTGGCAAGTCAAGTTTTGATGCCCTAGTTTTGTGCCGTGCTGAACCCATTCCAAAATGTCTTTCATTGTGTCTCATGCAGGAAACAAGATGAAGTTTCTTCACAAGAAAAACTAAAGGGCCCTGCGCCCCCCACATGGACTGTCAGATACCCAATGACTATTTATGACACGAGCGCGGAGTCCGAACACTTTACAGTTCTGGCACAAATGGAAATAAGCTCTCAGAAGCTTCAGAACTTATGGAAAATGCTGCTTGAAGGAGCATCTTCGCGATGCGTCATACCGGCTCACACGTTCGCCTTTATATATTTGTAAATAATATGCTGTAAGCTTGGTTTTTGCCTTTTTTATTGTGACTTTTTTTATGATGCAAAGAAAACTGTGTTAAATATGTTTATATCCCTAAGAGTGTCAGCGACTTACTCTCTGTGGTATGACCCTGCGTGATTTTCGGCGCAGGTGAAAATCCGTTACTCTACAAAACCACTGAAACGTGAAGAATGGATCCTCGTGTGGACACTAAACGAATGACATCTATCTGGTCATGTGAACCAAGTGGCAGTGGGAATGGGTTCACGTTATATGGCGGACGTTAGAGCTACATTTTAATTGCGCTATTCACAAGGATGGGTTCTTTCAACTGCACGAAGGTTCATAAAACAATGTTTCTTCTTTTTTTTTTTTTTTATGGTCAGTAAACTGTATACTGTACACTCTGCACTATGACTGCAAAAATGCTGAATCTCATGGTATTCTGACCTCTATGCTGCAAATTAATAGGTACAGCCCTTCATAGTGTATGCGCATCAATAAACTGTGTAAATACAGGCCTTTTGTATGATTTATGGAACACATTACATATTCCTGAAGCTAATCGAGATTTTCCAGATCCAATGTGTGTCCAGAGAAAAGATAATTTGGACAGTGCATGAAAAGTGCTGGCCGGCCGTATGAAATCAGCTGCACTAAGATAATTAAATGCTCCCCATCCCCATTTTTTTATATACGTAATATTAATAATGTCCAAAGAAATAAATAAAACCTGCACTTTACAAGTGATTGTATTTACTGCACAATCTGAAGCTTACAACATTGACGAATCTCCACTAACACCTGGAGCTCGAATCCAATTTAATGAAAATTACCAGGTTTTTCCCCTCTAATAATAGATCATTTAACAACGTGATATTGAGGTTCTAATATCGGAAAATGTCTCAATATGTAAACACAAAACTGGAATCATTAACTCAAAAAATAGGAAAATCACGAGAGAAATTTTAACCCTATACAAAGCCCATAAACATATAATTAAATCCAAAGTTGACATTAATCATAAAGAAAGTTAAATTATAGCTTTCACAGTGTGCAGCCTCTCCGTGTGTGTGAATGATATGTTGTTAAATTGTAGGTTGTGGTTTGCAGTTGTTAAGCAGTGGTTTGTCAGACGAAGGGCAATAAGTCTGTTACCTCCCTTAACCTGGCGGAAGGGCTACATCTAGAACGGAATTATCTGTGAATCCAGACAAATACAGAAAGTAACATGGACTTTATAAATGAACACAATTTAAAGCTGTTTTTTAAATATCCGCACAGGTGTTATCTGAAGATAGTGAGAGTTTTGTAAGTGGATGTTGGTCGTAAAAAAAAAACAACAACTGCTTTTGCAGAGTTTGGTTCCATTTTAACCTCATTGTAACAGGTGACATATCAGAATAATTAGTGATTTGTCTAATAACTAATTATTAGTTTAATAAATTAGTGAACTAGAGAGCGTTCAAGGCTGAATTGATATTCCCTAACATACATGTTCCTTAACGCCCCCCCCCCCCACCTTAACTTGCTCATAAATCTATTACTCCAATCCTAAATCTCCATCTAACTTTACCCCAATCCTAATCCTCCCAGCCTCTATCCCCCTAATCTTAGTTTAGCAGAGTTTTGCGGTGGTTTTAGTGAAGTTTCATTACTGCATTACCCATTCATCTGCGACATTTAAAACGTGCCTTTGTTTTTATTAAATATATACACAGAAAAGGACTCCCTGTAAAGCCTGGTCTCAGAGACGCATTATGGATGCTTTTCTGAATCTGGTTGGCCTCTCTGTCAAGGCTTATTTACTAAAGTTAGAATTGTTGGGAAATCAAAAATAATGTCAAATTTAAGGCCGAAATAGCCATATTGGAAAATATCTCCAAGTCAGCTATGCTTCCAGTGTGTTTACTTTGTCCTTAAACTTGAAATGCGCCTGGATCTCTGGCTATCACTCACACTAGGTCTTGCAGTAAGTGATCTGTTTTTTATTGAAAGAACCCTCGCTAGAGCCTAACAGCATGGATTTTTTGCATATTTTGTGTTTAGTTTTGTACCTTATATTATAATTGAAAAATTGCTAATGAGATATTTCTCCATTTGACATACAGCGACCAAGTTAATGTACTTAATTTGGGTTGTTGTCAAAAAAGCTGGAAAACACGGCCATAACCGTACTCTAATTAAACACTGACTATGCCGTGCTTCTGTCACTTTAATTGTTAACTATAATCATAGTGCTGTACAGAGTCATGTATTTACTCTCCCAGATTACCTTTAACCCCTTAACAACCGATCTATGTTTCCATGGAAATTCTCGCTCCTTTAACATCAGTTCTTTCTAGAGCCGCAGATAGCAGCAATCCTCCCATAGCGTCTCTAGGGACCATATTGTAATGTTGATAAAATAAATAACATTGCTCCTTAAGGAGTTAAAATATGTCCCTTTAACATAAACACCTGTATACCCTGCCCACAGGTACCGTGCTCGGCGAGCAGGGAGCAAGAAGTCAGAAATTTGCATTGCGTTTTTTTTTTTAAGGTATCCTTGAAAAATAGTCAACAGACAAAATTAATCTTTTGCCCCAAATTCACATTTAGCGCATGCTGTATTATTCCAAATAAATATTTTAATTTCTTTTTTTGAAAAACTATTTGGTAGCGAACACTCCTTGCAAGACAATAAGTGATATCCTGGTGACTTACAGGCAGTAATGTCTTACACGTACAATGTTTTAAGAAATCGCTAGTAAATTTCTGTATAAAATGTTATTTTAGTGAGCAGATTACAAGTCAGATCTAAGCACATGGTTGAATCTACAGAAATTCACACAATAAGGGTAATCACTAAATAATGAGCTTGTAGAAAATTGCAAGGAAGTGGAAATTTTACATCAAAATACCCCAAATGAGAAAAATACTCAAACTAAGCAAATTTGCCCAAAATTTGCAGTTTCCTATAAATTTACATCTTAGGTTTTTTTTGTTTGTTTTTTGCTAAACGCTAACTTGTTCAAACTGAGGCACTGGTTTAAATACCCAATTTTTCCATATCAGCTATTCTGGCCTAGGTTTTGTAGTGTATATGTATCTGAATATTCTCTTTATTGAGCTGCAGTTTCTGTGTGCTAGTCTGTCATCACACACAGATATCCTCAGTAGGGACATGCGCTTCCCCTGAGCTCAGACGCCCTCCCGCATGCAGAAAGCTTCTTTCGCACTAATAAAACGTTCTCTGTGTTACAAATTTGGAAGCGTACACTGGGGTACGTGATGTAATAATATGCAACTAACACAAATTTAACAAGAAATGCTTGTTTTTTAAATTTATTTATTTTTATAACACGAATAGATCCACGATTCTAAGGACTAAAATAACACACATAGAAACTTGGGTGTAGGAAAAAAATACTTCCGATTATTTTACAAAACAGATGTATTTAGGCAGAGAAAGGGCACAATGTGTGTTAATGATTTCTGGACTTTAACTTCTAAATACGGAATGAATCAGATGATTTTTGCCGTTTTGGTTAGGCTACATTTATAAACTCACTAAACTCTAACATATTGTCTATTAAATCTGGAAAATTTCTCCAACTCAGCCATAGTCACAGCATGGCTATTTTTGCTTTAATGTTACCTTTGAGATTTAATTTGCGGAAATTCCGATTAGTGCATACCCTGTTGGAGGTTAGTGTTTTAACACTTACAATGCTTTTTTGTTTGTTTTTTTTAGCTTGTTCAGCCCTGCATTATGTAGAAATCATCGCTGCACATTGATTTGAAGAGGTAATACCAGGTCCGGTCCTGGATAATGTGTGCCTATAAAACATGGATGGGACGTCTCTAGATCAGGAGTGCCCAAAAGGTAGATCCCCAGATGTTTTAAAACTACAGCTTCCATGATGCTTTGTCATTCTAAAGGCATGCAAAGCATCATGGTAGTTGTAGTTCTATGATATCTGGGGATCTACCTTTTGGGCAGCCCTGTCTTAGATGTTACAAATCAATGCTGTTCACTGGTTGTTTATATGTGACTGGATATGGTACCCTACTTTGGTGCCAGTTATATATAATTAACGATCAGTATGAAGAACTGGGTATAGGCTGTGCACTGTCCATTCATTGTACAGCACTGCAGAATTTGTTGGCGCTATATAAATAATAATCATAGTATATAGCTGTAAAAGAACCCGCATTCTGAAATGTGTGGAAATCCATCATTATCTACCAACCAAAATGAAGGATATTTATCAAAGTGTTCTGATAAATGACAGCTAAATTAAGTCATTACTTTGATCAAATGTATTAAATTGTTTTGTAAAAAGTGAGTTTTTCTTAATGGTAAATTCTGCCAGTTTTCACATTTAATGTTTTTAGGAAACCGTCAAATTTATAGTGGCAGGAAGTCTCCACCAATTTTCTGTCAGAAAAAGTAGCTAAAAAATCCATAAATCTTTTGTGTCTGCTAAAAAATGATAAATATAAAAAAATGATGGTCAGGGCAAAAAAAATAACATGATAAGATGAGATGGAAAAAAGTTGGTGACACTTTGAAAAAAACTCCTCCTTTGGGGTTTATTCACTAAAAAGTTAATAAAGGTGACTTGGAAACCAATTGTTAGAGTAGAAAAAACAAATCTCTAAATGCTATATTCACAGTTTGGTTATTTAGGTTTTAATTGATCAAATTCCGTTTTTAAAAACAGCACAATTCACAATTTAGTAAATAAACCCCAAGTGGGTTTGTGATCACACACTCATCGACAGCGCCAACAATCATAGGACAACTTGGATAAAATGTACATAGCTTGAAAATAGAATAATGGGTTAATTAGAGGCTCTGCTCGTTAGTCACTATTCCCTAACGAGTAGATAGATAACTACAGGAGGGGCTGTATTTGGCTGCACATTGGATACTAGACACCACTCCCTAAATTGCCCCTTGGCTATGCCGTGGCATATTACTCAGTGAATATACCCACTCAGTTCAAATCACCCAAGTAGCCATTATTGTACCGTTATAATATGAAATGGATAAATTTATTAGAGATAATTAGATCTCCAGGGTTTAAGTCTCTGGATAAATAATTATCTTACCGTACAAGGGGAGTGGTACAGATATATAGCAATATTGCTCTGCTGACTTTTTTAAAGGTATATTCCAATTAAAAAACAATATATATATTGTTTTATTTGGAGGGTTTCTATTTTTGTTTATTATTCCCCCAACCCAATTTGGGTAACGAGCAAACTGAAATAAATTATCTTCACCATTATTCCAGCACCGGTGGAGCATTAGGCTCATGGCGCATGCGCAGCAATCACCAGCATCTCAAGGATTGTATATGGGAAGCATCTACTACAATTAACAGTGAGCGAGGGATTATTCCTCCTCGGTATCTGCTCGGACACATATCTCTCCATCATGTAAAGTGCTACCCTGCTTTTTGACAAATCCATAAATTCATACATTCTTGACTTCCTTCCTACGCCTTCTGAATTATTCATTGCATGGGGTAATAACCAGCCATATGTATACATGATGGCGGAAAAGGCAACCCTATGCTAAGGGATTTATAAAGTTCTGATTTCTCCTGAAATAAGCCAACAGGTGCATGCAGTTAACCCCTTAAACACCTCTGCACACTGAATTGCTCTAACCCCTTAAGGACACGGCATGTGTGACATGTCATGATTCCCTTTTATTCCAGAAGTTTGGTCCTTAAGGGGTTAAGGAACTGGAGTTTACATCAGGGCAGAATTGGAAAGATGAATATCGTGGACCAGTAGTGACTAGTGAAATTTAAAGACGGTGGGTCACTAGGAATTTGCCTCTACCTATTGACTTGTTGGGTGATGTCTATTGTACTCAAACCCTGGCCTAGTGAGTGGTCATGTCCTGGTCATGTATTTGGAACTCAACTCAACACTTTAAAGAGGCCTGACTCCACCTACTGATGCTGATACCCAATGACAGTCCTAGAAAACAGGGCACTATGCAGGGCTTTTTATATAGGGGATTCAGAATGTGATGGCCCAATGTAAAGCCAATGGGTGACATCACAAAATGGGGGGAAAAAAATCAAAAATGCCTGAAACATAGTGATGTAATAAACTGTTTGGTCTCTAAGCAGTGTCTTCATCTATCAATAAGGGGTGTTTGGGGAGGCGGGAATCTGCAGAATTAATCCTACGAGACACGATTTGTTTCCAGTACACACTTATCACTAGTCCTAATAACACCAATAGATTTTTTTGTTTTTGCAACAAAATTTTGGGTGGGCGCTGATCTACCTGCTTCTACGGCCCATCACCCAGCGTTGTGGACTGTTGTCTACATTTTACTAATTACAATAATAGAGAATGTATTAATGCAATAGGCTCCTTGATGAAGCACACCATAGGAGTGATAAAGGGTCATTGTATGTATTGTGGCCAACATGCCTGAAGAATTCAGGGCAGACTGAGTTGACTATCTGGCATTCCCCGAGGGCACAATATTAATGGGTTATGCACAACCTGTTGAGAAGACAGTGGTAATTGCTGTTTTATTTTGTAAATCTTGCGTCCTTTCAGTCAGTGAATTATGATTGTCACTTGTACTCAGCCACATTACAGGCCTTTCTTGATATAAAAAAGGCAATATCTGCAAACTTACTACAATTGAAAAAATCAACAACTTTCTTGAGTTGAATTTTAATATCCCCTTCCTCCAGCCTTGTAAAAAAAAAAATAATGGATATATTCAACCAAATAGTGTGCTGTGGTAAGCAGAGAACCAACTTGCAAATTTAGGCCAAAATAGAAAAATAAATAGATTGCATTTTTTTCTATAAATACATTCCAACTTCCCAAATCCCATCTATACTGTAGAGTTTTTTTTCCCCTTCTGATCTCTATATTGCAACTTGCTGTTTAGTGCACAGTCTGGCTTGGAGGTGGCTGGGAGTTGTGAGAGTATACCAGCAGCAGGAGCACAGGGGAAGGGGTTATGGGTGTAATTAAAGTGCCTCAGCAGGTGTACCCTGGGGATCCAGTACTGGTGGCATCCAGACCCTGCTCTCAGAAACATTGATAGGAGGATGACATGTGTCAGACTGAGCTCTCAGAGCTCCTGCCAGCTCCCCTGGGCTCCTACTCACTGCTTGCATCATGCAGGGTTTCATATAAACAGCCTGGCTCCTGGGACCTGTCTGCCTGCAGCATGTTACACCTGCCCTAGCCTCACATCATTCAGTACACAGGGAGAATTAGCTGGCTGTATCCCTACTCTGCAATGTGAGCACAGCTTACACATACAGGTAAGGGGGTGCTGGGTACAGGGGTGGGGGATGGGGTAGGGCTATGTATAAGGGGTATCACTGAATGGTGTACATGGGGTGACCTGTCTACAGAGGGGAGCTGTGTACACGGGTAACACTGAGAGGTCTACATGGGGGGAGCAGTGTATAGGGGAGCTATGTACATAGGGGGAGCAGTGTATAGGGGAGCTATATACATTATTATTTTATTATTTATTTATAAAATATTTTACCAGGAAAGATACATTGAGATTTCTCTCGTTTTCAAGTATGTCCTGTAAGTCCACATTAAATGTCAGTTGCCACAATTCTGACCATTTTTCTAGTTTACCTAAATCATTTGCCATTTGGCTTATCCCTCCTGGAACATCAACCCTGTTACATATTTTAGTATCATCAGCAAAAGTGTTAGGGGGAGCAGTGTATAGGGGAGCTGTGTACATAGGCGGAGCAGTGTATAGGGGAGCTGTGTACATAGGGGGAGCAGTGTATAGGGGAGCCGAGTACAGGTGAGAGCTGTGTACAGAGGGTGACACTGAGCTATGCACATGGGGGAGTTGAGTGCAGGGGGTAACACTGAGAGGTCTACATCGGGGGAGCGGTGTACAGAGGACACTGAGCTGTGTACAGGGGGTGATGTATGTCCTGGGGTTACACTAAACTGTGTAGCGGAGGAGCTGTGTACAGCGGTTACACTGGGTTTTGTACTGGGGGTAATTGGTGTATGGTGAGGTAGTGTAGTAGGGGTGAGGTGGTGCATGGTGAGGTAGTGTAGTAGGGGTGAGGTGGTGTATGGTGAGGTGATCTGTACAGATGTGAGGTAGCGATGGGGTGAGTTGGTGTATGGTGAGGTAGTGTAGTAGGGGTGAGGTAGTATAGTAGGGGTGAGGTGGTGCATGGTGAGGTAGTGTAGTAGGGATGAGGTGGTGTATGGTGAGGTGATCTGTACAGAGGTGAGGTAGTGATGGAGTGAGTTGGTGTATGGTGAGGTGGTGTATGGTAAGGTGGTCTGTATAGAGGTGAGGTAGTGTAGGAGTTTGCTAGTTATATATTAATATATATTTTCATGCTGTGTATGGGGTTCTTTGGTTAGATCAGATGAATAATTTCAGTACACTCCCCCTATATGTTCCCATGGAGCTCCAAAGCCACTGGGAAGAGTCTAAGTAAGTGGAGTCACAGAATTAATTTTATATAATATTCAATAGAATGATGGGTAACTGGGCTGATTTTACTATTTAGTTTAATTACTGTATAGACATTATTTAGGATGATATGTTTGCTAAAGGCTGGATCAGTGTAAACTGTGTTATGGAATATGTACAAAGACAATGAATTAGTTAAATATTACATTCAAAGCCAATTTATCAATGTTAATGTTTTTTTCTGGGGAGGAGGTTAACCCCCGGTGTGCCTCTTTATTACCTCATGCTATTAAACAGTTATAGACAATCTAAAACTGGGTAAAATCATGAAATCTGATGAATTTTCCATTGTGACATTTAGAGTTTCACACATTAATTTGTCCAGTTATTTAATGTTGAGCTGACCGCTGTGTTCATCAGATGGTTAATGTATATCAGTGAGAATTTGTACAACACTGTTGAATATGTTGGTGCTTCATAAATTATTAATAATATAGTATTATATAATTAATAATAATATTAGGTAACATTAGAAAGACAGGACTCATGGGTTGCAGAATACAAAGCTCCATAGGCTAGATCTCAGCTTACAAGCAGGGCCCTCTCTCTACCTTTTGTATTTGTCTGTCTATATTGTATGTTCTCCACTAATTGTACAGCGCTGCGGAATCTGTTGGCGCTTTATAAATACCATAAATAAATAAATGAAATAGGGGCAGCAAATGCAGTTTTTAGTGTAAGGAGTAATGATAAATAAGTCTGTCATGTTTATATATGCAGTTTCCAGAAATATGCTTATTTGTGGCTAGAGGTGCTGCTGAGAGGGTGATCAACTACGTAATCAACTACGTAATCATATCACAATTTTCAGGCAATTTTGAACAATAACCCCATTCTCTGGGTATGCACCTCTCAGGCATATATAGCTAACTAATTCTGCATTATATCTATTTCCAATCTAGAGAATATTGATTATCACTAACAAAAGAATTTTACTCTGGTAAATCTATTCTACAGACTAAACTTACAGTCTATAAATACAGGGCTTATGCCACTCTGCAAAATATTTTTTTCACAGATAATTCAGATTTTATATATTTTCAGTGCTATGGTGCTACCAGGGTTTGAAATGTGTAGTCTTATGATAGTAGCCAGACTGTAAATTATCCACAGTGCAAGCCATAGCAAACTCACCACCGTTAGCATATTAGAATTTGCCCTGGTGCCACACTCTTAATAAACCAAATAAAGATTTAAGTTTACAAGGCCACTTAAAGGACCACTCTAGCACCCAGACCACTTCAGCTTAATGAAGTGGTCTGGGTGCCAGGTCCTTCTAGGGTTAACCCATTTTTTAGAAACTGCTATGTTTATTAATGGGTTAAGCCTTCCCCCAAAGCCTCTAGTGGCTGTCTCATTGACAGCCACTAGAGGCGCTTGCGTGCTTCTCACTGTGATTTTTCACAGTGAGAGCACGCCAGCGTCCATAGGAAAGCATTATGAATGCTTTCCTATGTGACCGGCTGAATGCGCGCGCAGCTCTTGCCGCGCGTGCGCATTCAGCCGACGGGGAGGAGAGAAGGAGGATCGGAGGAGGAGAGCTCTCCGCCCAGCGCTGGAAAAAGGTAAGTTTTAACCCCTTTCCCCCTTCCAGAGCCAGGCGGGAGGGGGACCCTGAGGGTGGGGGCACCCTCAGGGCACTATAGTGACAGGAAAACGAGTATGTTTTCCTGGCACTATAGTGGTCCTTTAAAATCAACTATCTCAGCAAACAAATACAGAAATTCAGTTACCCCACATGGCAATATTGTTTTAAGCCCAATATGTCACAGTACCCCAAGGAAGGGGTTAAACGCTTACCTTTCTAGAGCGCCGGGCTCCCTCGGCGCTGGGGACTCTCCTCCCTCTTCCGACGTCATCCGCTGAATGCGCATGCGCGGCAAGAGCCGCGTGCACATTCAATCAGTACATAGGAAAGCATTACTCAATGCTTTCCTATGGATGTCAGCGTCTTCTTACTGTGATTTTCACAGTGAGAAGTGCGGAAGCACCTCTAGCAGCTGTCAATGAGACAGCCACTAGAGGCTGGATTAACCCTAATGTAAACATAGCAGTTTCTCTGAAATTGCTATGTTTACAGCTGCAGGGTTAACCCTAGCTGGACCTGGCACCCAGACCACTTCATTGAGTTGAAGTGGTCTGGGTTCCTATAGTGGTCCTTTAACATGGGAGATATACATGCTAACTTCAAAACTTACTGCTTAAACTGCTTCCAGAGACTCCTCAATGAATGCTTTCCTGTGGTCACCTCCAAAGGGGCACCCATATGGGATGGGTGGGGAGCTCAGCCCAATAGGAATCTGGTCTTGATCCAAATGTTCTGGGTGTACTCCCAATTCCCCTTTTTTGGATTGGCTGTTCTGATGTTTAATAAAATTACTATTAGAATATTACCCTGAGGGTCTATTCACTAAAATAAAATCTGATGGAAACATTAGATGATTTGGCTTTGGCATATAGAATTTTTAGGTCACTGTGATTCACGATTTACATGTTCCTCAATAACCTGATAGCTTTATGGCCTGGAATTTAATTTAAAAAATTCTGCCATTTTACTAAGTGCAGTTTGGAAAATGCTGTGTTTGACACAGGTGGAAGATTGTACCTGAGAAGAAAGCTAACAGAAATGTTAACATGTTGACTTAATCTCAAGGTTTCTCCGCTCGGAATAAATACTGCCTTGATGTGTACACACCGCGCTGATAACGGGTTATACTTTCTGGCGTATTCCCAAAACACATGGGCTGTTGACTCCAGGATCTACATTAGGCTACCCCAACAGGGAGCCACTTACTCTGCGTTACAGAGCAAAAAACAAAACGCAAGATACAAACATATGTTACTTGTATGTAGCTTGATACATCTTGCAGTGTCTCTGACTACTGGCTATGTTTGATGGAAGCAGCTGTAACCGATTGATAGATACAGAGTAATAAAGACGCTGTATCTGCCATCTTGTTTTTAGCAAACCCGCATAAGAGAAGGTAAGTGTCAATATTAATTAGCCTTACAAAGAGACCGGTCTGTTCACTAAACAACAACTTGTGGCGATAGAACCGAGATGCCACCGAGCTGAGTTGGGAAATAGTCTAAGAAAGTTATTTACTACAGTCTGAGCTGTCAGCAATTCAAAGTGAGTTTCAAATTTTAGGTACAAATTCTCCATGTAAGCTATGGTTTGACAATTGTGGCTAAAACCTGGAAATCAGTTCACTTTCACTTAAAATCCCAGACCATTCACAAATGAGTGAATAACAGGATCTCTGCAGATTGAGCCCACAGCAAAACTGGATGACCCCTGCTGGCATGCTTCATGCTGGGAGCCACACCCCCACCACTTCATGCCAACCTTGCCAACTACGCCAGCCGGGATCTTGGTGTCAAAAATAACAAGAAATAAGAACAAGCTGCCATGACTCACTACCTAAACAAAGAAGAAGGGGTGCAGCAGAGCCCCTCTGCCCAGTACCCAATCCTGGCTGTTACCTGGGGGTAGAGTGCAGAACACGTAAACTAGTTATCTCTTTTATATCAGGGGCTGCTTTGTGAATCAAAAAACAAAACAGAACACTAATATCCTTGGAGCCACTTGTAGAGATTCAGGGATAAGAAACCCCACATCCAGGGATTCAACCCCTAAAGCTCCCGTAACAGCTCGTCTGGTGAAAAAGCCCGCATGAGTTTAAGATTTCTTTTTAACTTACTATTTTCACATTAATTCAGTTGGCTGTCATCTCACCACGACTCTCTCTTTCCTAGCTACGTCCTATGTATTTTTTCTGATATTACAGTCTAAGTGCCAAGGACACTTGCTGAGTTGTGTGTTATTTTTTGTTGTTGTAGGTATTACATTAATTGTGGTACGCCGGGATCAACTGTTTAATGTTAAAATTAGTATTAGGGTGGCCTGAGATGTTGTGCCAACTTGCAACCTTACGTGCCAAGTGGCATCTGGGTGATCTTCCCTTTTATGCTCATTACCCACCTGGTGCCATTAGTGAGCCATGCCAGGCAGTAAGACGCCCTCTCACGTGTTTTTATTTTAATTCTGTTGCTTGTTGATAGCAGGGGATCTTTGCTTGTAGGCTCTAAGATGCATTGTTACAGACACTCTTCATAAGTTTGGGCGACATTTTTCGCTTCCCACAATGCTCTAGGGTGTGAGTGTCGTCAGACTGTGTTGGTGATGCTGTCCTGAGGGGCCGGAGAGTCTGCAGAGGACTTGTGATGCAATCAGCTCACTATCACCTGGAGATTAATCAGTTTAATTGACTCCCCCAGCCAGTCATTGCAGGGTCGGTTTTCCATTGACTGTATGACGTGCAGCCGTGACCTTGGTTTTGATGCCTATCGTCCCTGCGTGGCTCAATGCCTGAGGTTAGCCCAGACAGGGCTGGGACCTTTATCATAGAAAGTCTAAATAATAAGTATATAGTGTGAAAACTTATTAAAAGTAAGGTTGTTTTTTTTATCGATGTCTCCAAATTATCTGAGCCCTGAGTTATGAGAGGATCATATTCTGCAATAATCCTCCTACTGTGCCCTACTAAAGTTTCTGTGCTACCCTCTGAAGAGTTCCACTTCTGTGCTTTGCTATAGTTTCCACTCCATCCTTGAGTTTTTGTGCCAACCTCTGTCAGAGTCCCCCTACAATACTCTGCTGGAGTTTCTGTGCCACCCTCTACTAGAGTTTCCCTACCGTGTCCGGCTAGAGTTTCTGTCCCACCCTCTGTCAGAGTCCCCCTACAATGTCCTGCTGGAGTTTCTGTGCCACCCTTTACAAGAGTTCCTCTACCGTGTCCGACTAGAGTTTCTGTGCCACGCTCTGTCAGAGTCCCCCTACAATGCCCTACTGGAGTTTCTGTGCCACACTCTACTAGAGTTCCCCTACCGTGCCCTGCTAGAGTTTCTGTGCTATCATCTTTCAGAGTCCCCTTACAATGCCCTGCTGGAGTTTCTGTGCCACACTCTACTAGAGTTCCCCTACCTTGCCGTCCTTGAGTTTCTGTGCCACCCTCTGCCAAGTCCCCCTACCGTGTACTGCTAGAATTTCTTTGCCGTCCTAGCCAGGCCTTGATATAAATTATCCCATACACTGTGATACCTGGTGCATTAGTCAGAGAAGGTGTATATACAGATACTGAATATATAAACTATTAGCACAGCACAAATCTCACTGCATCTGCTCTGCATAATGTACGCAGCATGCTAAACCGCTCTGCATAATGAACCTAACATACTTACCTGCTCTGTGTAATACACCTAGCATACTTACCAGCAATGCATATTGTACACAGAATGCTAAAGCGCTCTGCATAATGGTCCTAACATACTTACCTGCCTCCCTTGGTAAACTCATTAGCTCCTTTGGCTTCCAATATAATTTCTATGCGGAGGACACGCAAATCTACCTGTCCTCTCCTGATCTCTCCCCGTCCCTCTTGACTAGTGTCTCTGACTGCCTCTCTGCTGTTTCTAACTGGATGGCTTCCCACTTCCTTAAACTAAACTTGACCAAAACTGAAATTCTGGTCTTTCCTCCCTCAAGTGTTGTTACTCCTGTGTCTGTCTCCCTCCAAGTCAACGGTGCTACCATCAGCTCCACCACGCAGGCTCGCTGCCTAGGTGTTCTCTTTGACTCCGACCTCTCCTTCATGCCTCATGTTCAATCTATCTCCAAATCCTGTCATTTCCATCTCAAAAACATTGCGCACATCCGCCCCTACTTAACGCCAGATGAGACTACGGTGTTGGTCCATTCCACTGTCCTTTCTCGCCTTGACTACTGTAATCCGCTTCTCAGTGGTCTTACGTGCTCCCAACTTGTGCCGTTACAGTCCATAATGAATGCGGCAGCAAGGTTCATCTTCCTGTCCGCCCGCACCTCCCATGCCTCACCCTTCTGTCAGTCCCTACATTGGCTTCCTATAAAATATAGAGCTCAATTTAAAATTCTGGTTCTTGCTTTCAAATCTCTACATAATGCTGCTCCCACCTATCTATCCTCACTTATACACAAGTATGTCCCGTCTAGGCCCTTACGATCTGCTGAAGACATACGTCTATCTTCTGTCCGTACTCCCACCTCTGATGCTCGCCTTCAAGATTTCTCGAGGGCTGCACCATTCCTGTGGAACTCGCTTCCTCCGTTAGATGCTCACCCAGTCTCCACTCCTTCAAAAAATCCTTAAAAACCCACTACTTCATAAAAGCGTATCAATTGATTCCTCTTCTGCAACTGTCACTAGTCTAATACTATCTAAAATACTTACCTTTTTGTGTCATTTTACCCCACTCCCTGTGGCATGTAAGCTCATTGAGCAGGGCCCTCAACCCCTCTGTTCCTGTGTTTCCAACTTGTCTGGTTATAACTACATGTCTGTTCGTCCACCTATTGTAAAGCGCTGCGGAATTTGATGGCGCTATATAAATACCATAATAATAATAATACCTGTTCTTTGTGATACACCTTCTAACATACTTACCTGCTTTGTGTAATTCACCCAACATACTTACCCGCTCTGTGTATTACACCTTACATACTTACCTGCTCTGTGTGATACACCTAACATACTTACCTGCTCTATGTGATACACCTCCTAACATACTTACCTGCTCTGTGTAATACACCTAACATACTTACCTGCTCTGTGTGATACACCTAACATACTTACCTGCTCTGTGCAATACACCTAACATACTTACCTGCTCTGTGTGATACACCTAACATACTTACCAGCTCTGCATAATGTTCACAGAATGCTAAACAGATCTGCATAATAAACCTAACATACTTACCTGCTCTGTGTGATACACCTAACATACTTACCTGCTCTGTGTAATACACCTAACATACTTACCTGCTCTCTGTGTAACACACCTAACATACTTACCCACTCTGTGTATGGCATCCAACATACTTACCCACTCTGTGCGATAAATCTAACATACTTACCTGCTCTGTGCAATGCACCTAACATACTTACCTGCTCTGTGTAATTCATCTAACATACTTACCTGCTCTGTGTAATGCACCCAACATACTTACCCACTCTGTGTGAAACATCTGACATACTTGCCTGCTCTGTGTGATGCACCTAACATACTTACCTGCTCTGTGTAATTCACCTAACATACTTACCTGCTCTGTGTAATTCACCTAACATACTTACCTGCTCTGTGTAATGCACCTAACATACTTACCCGCTCTCTGTGATAAATCTAACATACTTACCTGCTCTGTGCAATGCACCTAACATACTTACCTGCTCTGTGCAATGCACCTAACATACTTACCTGCTCTGTGTAATTCACCTAACATACTTACCCGCTCTGTGTGATACACCTAACATACTTACCCGCTCTGTGTGATACACCTAACATACTTACCCGCTCTTTGTGATACACCTAACATACTTACCCGCTCTGTGTGATACACCTAACATACTTACCCGCTCTGTGTGATACACCTAACATACTTACCCACTCTGTGTGATACATCTAACATACATGATCTCTCTGCGCAGTGTGCAAAGCTCCCTAGACAATGCATTCGAGTTTTTCATTTCTCCCATTTAACCAGGTATTATAATTTGAATATTATTGTGATGTGGTTTTTGTATTTTATTGTGACATGCAAACATTTGCTGAGCGTTTATTTTAGAAACCTTCCTCGTCCTCCTTCAAGCTCCAGGACCAAAATTTGTAGAGCAATTCTCTCTCTATTGAATATTCTGCCTGATTCTGACATTGTCCTCCATCATCTTTCAGGGAAATAATTTTTTAGAGAATAGTCATTGGCATGTCGTTTAGTAAACCCCCAAATACCAGCTTGTGAACCCCCCCAAATACCAGCTTGTGAACTCCCAAATACCACCATGTGAACCACCCAAATACCACCTTGTGAACCCCCCCCAAATACCAGCTTGTGAACTCCTAAATACCCGCTTTTGAAATTCCCCAGGACCAGCTTGTGAACCCCCAAATGCCAGCGATGTGTCCAGCAATACATGTCCCTGGTCAGATTCTATTTCTATGATCATGTTTTTTCATGGATGAAGCTATTTATGACACCGTGTGCATCTGCTTTATAACAATCTACGAGAGTGCTGCACATATCCTATTCCCATAAGCCTCTGCACACTATAGTTGTTTTGGGGAACATACACCTGGTTTTGTCTCAGGCCATCTGGGATCATACAAAACATGTCATGCTTTTACCATAATGTACTCTGCCTGCCTGCTGTCAGTATGCTTGGTTATGTTAGTTATTAAAGTAGCATTTCCTGTTTATAGTTTTGTCTTTATTTTTATTTTAGGTTTTCTCTGTTGTCCTCTGTGCAGCCCGACGTGCGTCTTAGGGGATGTGACTGAAACCCATTTATAAAGAATTTTTCAAGAACTCATCTCAACATGGCCAAGGTAAGTGACCCCCGGCCCTTTACAGTTGGCTGTAAATTTAGCAAACCAAAAATCTGTTTCCCCCACTGTTTGCTGGGTTTATCTGCTGAACAGTGAGTGTTAGTAAACTGAAAATCAAATTGCTCAATTTATTATAAAATAGCAAAAAGGGACTGTAGCCAAGATTGAGAATATTTTTCAAATCAGTTATTTAAACTTAAATGTTGCCATTCACAAAACTGTAAATGGCAAGATTTCACTGTTTAGTGAACAATCCCTTTGGATGAATGTACCTAGAGAACCAGATGTTATATTGTATTTTTATACCTTGAACCGGCAATTACACTTGTCATGGAAATCTCTATATTTAGCTCTAAACTCACCTTGTGTTATTTAATTATAGACTCGGCCTCAGTGAACTGGCTGTTTTTAAAGATATTACCAGATTTCATCCATTGCTCTTAAACTGCTTTTATTGGATAAATCATCTTAAATTTGCCAAATTCTGTGACTTTATCTAAGATATGTCAAAGTCGCGCCCCCACCCCAAAAAGTAAATCTATTTAGAAGTTATAATTAATAACATGGACTTTGTGCACGCTATGTTCGCAGGTTATATAATATTGTGATAAATCTTTATTTATTAACCCTTTGCAAGCTGTTGAGTTAGAACTGTTATTACCCGGATCCTCCAATCAATAAATAAATAAGTATGTGGGATGGAATAGATTTTACCATTTAATGCAACATAGTGTGTTAGGATAGAGATGGCAAACATTACCGTGTCAGAAGAAATACAATTAATGGAGGGGCTGTTTCTGTGCCTGGTGTTTGTGGACTACACCTCCCATAATGCTCTGCCAGTGGTGAAAATTCTTCATACCGTCTGAGCCTAATGGGAAATGGCACCACGAGCTGAGAATTATGGGAAATACAGTGAACAGTCTGAGAACAAGCAAAGTAAATAAGGTCGATAAAAAAAACCAAAACATTTTGTGAGCTACTGTTTTATCTTGTTGTTGTTAATTTGTTTTTCTAAATCAGAGAAGCTTGAGGCTGCCCCGCTTTTTTACTTCAGCCATTCCTTGGTACGCAGAGATCCCAGGGGCCAGTAACATACTAGTGCAGGGGTAGGCAACCTACGGCACGTGTGCCATGCATGGCACTCAAGATGCCTTTGCACGGCACTCAAGGTTGCCAGAGCCAAACAGGCATTGGCATGTCAGATATCTGCTAGTGCAAACTAAGTGGTGATTGCAGGTGGCAAGGGGCAATCCTTCATTTACCCATTGCAGCGCTTAAAGGAAGTGATCTCAGATCACTCCATCCCAACACTTATGAACTGGTACCTGCACTACAGTAGGGCAGCCCACAGCAGCTATCACAGATTTTGACCTGCACCTGGCCAACCCGTTGCTCACTGGATCCCAGAGATGCCACCCACACTGCTAGATATATACACATAGCTGCAAAAGAAGCCTTCCTGTTATACAAATAATATAAATAGCCCACAACCACAACACCACTGACTATCCACATACACGCACACAACCTCACATGCAATACTCCAAGCCCCTCACATGCAATACTCCAAGCAGCCCCACACATATACACATCACCAAACACAATGTGATATAACATCCACACACACAATTCTGCAAGCAGCCCCCATACACAGCCCACATTTATAGGTACATACGCAATATCACAAACTACTCATAAAAATATACAATATAACAGTCCACATACACATAAATACAATGCTACAAAGCAACTGCAGCAACCATAAATTACACAAGCAGAATACAGTAACACACATCTCAATTTTACAAAAATAGGACCGGCACACCAAGGGACTTCAACATCTTGTTTTGGCGCAGTACTACAAAAAGGTTGCCTGCCCCTGTACTCGTGTTTGGTGTAGTGATTTAATGAGACGCTACGAGTCGCAAGCTACTTTCTTATTTTATCATTCTTATTTTCTCACATTGCAATGCATGAAACAAATTGCAAGTACAGAAATATATGCGTAAGACTCAATGCAGGCAACAATAAACAATAGAGAATATAGATGCAATGTGAGAGGTTTTGTTTTTGTATAGACTTAACAAATAATAAATGGAACAAGCATTTGTAAAACCACTGGTGCAGCTGGTAAGCCAACATACAGAGGCAGCATACATATATAGTGGTGATAACCGGTTTGTGACCCAAAATGGCTAAAATGCAGCATAGTCTTCAATGGGCTCTTAACCAATTCCACGTTCAGGGAATAAGCAGTATGTCCTCCACCGCAGCCACTCAGGCCAGCTGAGGGCCCAAGGGATCACTGTATGCCAATGTACGCATCTCCAGGACTTGAGTCTTAATCAGTGCCCAATGGCTGATGACTGAGGGGTTTCCACACACAGGGTGCCATTTCTGAAATGCCATATATAATATTCTGGCAAGGATAGGAAAAAGTACCATGCAGCTCACCATGAACGTAGATGTGGTTCGACTTGGGGGATCATGTCAGCCAGCGAACTAGGTGTGTGAGAAGAAACAATATCAGCCCCATGGTTGATGTGCGCTCTGGGTAGCTGTAACATCAGCTCAGTCCTGGATTGTTGGCTTAGTGTATTCCAGAATCTTGCACACAGGGCGTTGAAGGCTTGAGTGAGTCCTTGACCCCTGAGGACCCATGGTTGAATGACGCAGTTCCCGTAGCCATCTTAGTTTTACTTGGGTGCCTCAAAAAGGTCAGCTGATATTAAGGCTTCATGCTAGACCAGGATGACCACCATCAGTCTAAAAGGGGGGGACCTGAGCAAGTAAGACATATCGACTAGGATCTAGTGTGTCACAGGTGGGCACAAGAGGAGGACGGAGACCGTCCTCCCCACTCACTTCCTTAGTGGGCCGCAGTCAGCGTCCTATAGAGGCACCAAAATCTGTGTTACCAGGCTCTTTCTAGGGACCAGCACCCTGCTAGGACAATATGCCTCAGATTCCTGGTGCCAGGTGAGTTTATTATACACAGTTATCAGCGATAAGGTGACCGTGCGACTTGCCAGCATGATGGTCAGGCAACTCCCCAAATTTATTTTAGTTATATTTAAATTGAGTTAGAAAAGAATTAGAATAAATTTTTTTAAAAAGCATATTAAAATAATCTAATGAAATGATAGTCCCCGCTTGCATTTCTTGCATTTGCTGGGTTTTTCAGCTTTTCATGTGAGCTGTGTGTGAGACCAGGAAGCGTTTCAGCCAATCAGGATGCTCTCGTTCTAGTCACTGGAGAATAAACTTCCCCATAAATGTCTGCCCAGAATGTTTTATGGAATGTGTAGTCAAACAATGGGCATCCGATAGGACTGCCTAAGCTGATAGCAACTGCCCTGTGGCCTTTTTGTGAATAGAAGTCAATGCAGCTCAGACTTATTCAGGGTACCAACAAAATGTCCCACAAATAAATCAATAAATTACTGCTTAAAGCAACACACGGGTTGTAACTTCTACATTCTTAAGAAAAAATCATAACGAAAGACGACTGTCGCAGTAACTGAAAATACCCACTAAAGTCAATTCATTTCACATTTTGTGTTAAAGTAATTTTGCTTTAAATAACCTGCACATTCTTTGCAAAGCATGAACTGTATTAATATATTTCTGTCTGTTTCAGAGCTGTTTTGATTGCACAGAGAAGAATCCAGCTCACAGTCTCTGCACACACTGCAATAAATGGCTGTGCAGCACGTGCGCCGAACAACACCGACACAGCAAGTCTGCCGGCGACCATTTCCTGTCTCAAAGAGGATCAGGTGAATTGTCCTGCACGTCTCGTAATGCTGGCACTGCAATAACTGTGTCAAACACTGTATCATTATATGGGGCAGCCCTGGCTAACTCTGGCACTGCAACCACTGTATCATTATATGGGGCAGCCCTGACTAACTCTGTCACTGCAATCACTGTGTCAAACACTGCATCATTATACGGGGCAGCCCTGGCTAACACTGGCACTGCAATTACTGTGTCAAACACTGTATCATTATACGGGGCAGCCCTGGCTAATGCTGGCACTGCAATCACTATATAATTATATGGGGCAGCCCTGGCTAATGTTGGCACTGCAATCACTGTATCATTATACGGGTCAGCCCAGGTTAACGCTGGCGCTGCAATCACTGTATAATTATAGGGAGCAGCCCTGGCTAACGCTGGCACTGCAATCACTGTATCATTATGTGGGGCAGCCCTGGCTAATGCTGGCACTGCAATCACTGTATAATTATATGGGGCAGCCCTGGCTAACGCTGGCACTGAAATCACTGTATCATTATATGGGGCAGCCCTGGCTAACGCTGGCACTGCAATCACTGTATAATTATATAGGGCAGCCATGGCTAACGCATGCACTGCAATCACTGTGTCATTATACGGGTCAGCCCAGGTTAACGCTGGCACTGCAATCACTGTATAATTATATGGGGCAGCCCTGGCTAACGCTGGCACTGCAATCACTGTGTCATTATACGGGTCAGCCCAGGTTAACGCTGGCACTGGAATCACTGTATAATTATATGGGGCAGCCCTGGCTAACGCTGGCACTGAAATCACTGTATCATTATACGGGGCAGCCCTGGCTAACACTGGCACTGCAATCACTGTATCACTATACAGGACAGCCCTGGCTAACGCTGGCACTACAATCACCGTATCGTTATATTCTACACAATCCATATAAAATCAACGCACACCCATTGTGTTGGGCTGCCGGGGGAGAAGAACATTTTATGAGAGTTGGCACTGCTGTGTTTGGAGAGACTGGCACACTACGAGACTCAGCATTAAACTTGCTCCTTTGTTTTGCAGGACCAGAGAGTGGCTTCTTGTTCTGTCCTCTTCACAACCAAGAAACGCTGAGGTTGTTTTGTGAGACGTGTGATGTTCTCATGTGTCGCCATTGTCTGTTGTTGGAACACAAAGACCACAGGTAGGAGAACAGCATCCAGGATAGAGCAACTGGATTTATTAAAGGGGCATGTCACACGTGAAATGACCAATTAATTTTATTACATAGATAATGCATTAAAAATACCAAACAATTAATCCAACATAATAATAAATAGCCAGACTTAGGCTGCAAACTTAAAAATGCATTACAGTTGCAGGATTGTTCAACCAATTAATGGACTGTTGCAGCCAGGTTTGTCTCTTCCACATGTAGTGGTTTGCGCAACATATAATTAGACACCGGTAAACGGCATATTGTATTGTCAGGGATCTCTGGAGGATAATACAATCTTAAAGTGTTGGCTGCTAGGTCTTTGCTGGGCTTAGGGAGACCAGGAGAGCCTTGATTATTGTCAAACTGTTCAAAAACTATTTGTCAGGTAACGAGAGATGCACCCAGACTCCTTGCACCAAAACCACTACAATGAGTTGCATTGCTTATAGAGATGCAAGTGTAACTTTTGTAAATCACGCCATGAGAGAACTGGGCCTCAGTGGCTCTGTATATGTAAATATTGGAAGATTTCTACTCATGTTGAATGGATGCTTGCAGTATGTTTAACCCCTTAAGGACCAAACTTCTGGAATAAAAGGGAATCATGACATGTCACACATGTCATGTGTCCTTAAGGGGTTAATGTGCACATCAGGTGAATATTATTCAGTGTTCTGAAAATTGTTTTATTTTTTTAGTAAGTTCAAAAATCTGTACAAATGTGAATAAAGATAGTCAGAAAAGTATCACCTTTTTCATTGTATATTCCAGCAGATTTCTGTGCATCTACAGTTAAAACCGATTTAGAATAATGTGTGAATATTCTATATTCTTCCAATAGAACTGTTGTAAGAATGTCTGAAAATGTAATTTGAATTGAATTACTGACATGTCGCAAAAGTAATACATTGTGGAACAAACATCAGAATTGATCATTTATGCCAGAAAAAAAAATGTATTTTTATTTATTTATTTATAAAATATTTTACCAGGAAAGATACATTGAGATTTCTCATTTTCAAGTATGTCCTGTGTACACAAATCATTGCATTGTTACATTATGGTACAAGAAAATACAAAACCAATATTAATACACAATATATACAAAATTTAACATAGAACAGGCAGGAAATATATAATCAACCATGACACGTGCATTCTGTTTTGAGGTATGTAGAGAGGGATCTCTTAAAGGATTTTAGGCTTGGGGAAGATTTAAAAGTGTGTGGGAGGTCGTACCATAATTGAGGTGCTCTGTAGGAGAAGGAGGATCGGGCTGCTTTCTTTTTGTATTGAGGTGGTAGACTAAATAAAGTGCTGGTACTGGATCGGAGGTTATAGGAGGTGGGAACAGTCGAGGAGAGCATTTTGCTCAGGTAGGGTGGGAGTTTCCCAGAAAAGCTCTTAAACACAAGGCTGGAAGGGTGCGTCTGGATTCCAGCGACAGCCAGTTTAGTTCTTTTCACAATGGTGGGTCCTGAAATTATATTGTAGCATGTATTAAGTTTATTAAGGTGGGTTTGCGATGCACATGGGTATACTACATCCCCATAATCAACGATTGGCATTTGCTCTACAATCTTTTCCTTTACTGTAGGGCTTAGGCAGGATTTGTTTCTGTACAGGTTCGGCAGCTAGTTTAGGATAAAGATTAGATGCACATTTTTCTATGTGGGGGCCAAAAGATAGATTGGGGTCTAACAACATACCCAGATATTTGAAAGAGTGGACTTTTTTGTGCATAGATGGGAATTTTGTAATATGTGTAATTTAGGTATATGTGTAATTTAGGTACTGTTCCAAAGATCATTGTGACAGTTTTGTCAGTGTTTAGGAAGAGTTTTTTGCGATCCGCAGATTAGTCAGCATCATTTTGACAAATCTACCTCACTGAGCCTTGCTGATACTTTGCAGAGCTGTTTGATGTTTCTCTACTTATTCATTTCTAGGTTTCGACGTCTGGATGAAGCTTTACAGAATCAGAGAGTTCTCTTGGAGAATGTTATAACTCAGGTGGAGGAGAAAAAGGTTGGGGTACAGGCAGCTGGCAAGCAGATTGAGGATCGGTAAATATATACACATTTTATAATCACTGTGACTCAGAAATCCTTACTAGCTTCCACTGGAAGGCTATTCCATGTGTCTACTACTCTTTCTTTATCGCTGTTAGCCATTACTATTTCCACTAAAGGCCATTCCAGGTATCTACTACCATTTCTGTATCACTGTTAGCCATTATTGCTTCCACTGGAAGGCTATTCCATGTACCTACAACCCTTTCTATATAACAGTTAGCTTTACTGCTTCCACTGGAAGGCTATTCCAGGCATCTACTACCCTTTCTATATCACTGTTAGCCTTTACTGCTTCCACTGGAAAGTTATTCCAGGTATTTACTACCCTTTCTTTATCACTGTTAGCCATTATGGTTTCCACTGGAAGGATATTCCAGGTATATACTACACTTTCTATATCACTGTTAGTCTTTACTGCTTCCACTGTATCTACTACCCTTTCTATATCACTGTTATCCTTTACTGCTTCCACTGGAAGGCTATTCCAGGTATTTACTACCCTTTCTATATCACTGTTAGCCATTATGGTTTCCACTGGAAGGATATCTAGGTATTTACTACCCTTTCTATATCACTGTTAGCCTTTACTGCTTCCACTGGAAGGCTATTCCAGGTGTCTACTACCCTTTCTATATCACTGTTAGTCTTTACTGCTTCCATTGGAAGGTTATTCCAGGTATCCACTACCCTTTCTATATCACTGTTAGCCTTTATTGCTTCCACTGGAAGGCCATTCCAGATATTTACTGCCATCTCTTTATCAATCTTAACCTTTACTGCTTCCACTGGAAGGCTATTCCAGGTATCTACTACCCTTTCTATATCATAATTACCCATTACTGCTTCCACTGGAAGGCTGTTCCAAGTATCTTCTACCCTTTCTATATCACTGTTAGTCTTTACTGCTTCCATTGGAAGGCTATTCCAGGTATCTACTACCCTTTCTATATCACTGTTAGCCTTTACTGCTCCCACTGGAAGGCTATTCCATGTATCTACTACCCTTTCTATATCACTGTAAGCCGTTACTGCTTCCACTGGAAGGCTATTCCAGGTATCTACTACCCTTTCTATATCACTGTTAGCCTTTACTGCTTCCACTGGAAGGCTATTACAAGTATTGATTATTATTATTGGCATTTATATGGCCCTAATATTCCTCAGCGCTGTACAACATTATTAAAGGGGACTTTAACAACAAATGAGACCGACTATTTCAAATGTTGACAGGAACAGGTTAATGAGGATACTGTTCGAAGCTTACTGACATGGAATTAGGGAATGACAATTTCAGAATGATAGAAATTGGGTGATTAAACGTTTAATAGATTAAGTAGATTAAAGTTTATTGTTTTTAAGGAGAAGAGCTGAAAGGAATTGACAGCTTCCACAATTTCTCTTTACAGGTTGTATGAAGTTAAACACATGCACAGGAAGGTGGAAAATCAGATTAAAATGACGAAGATGGTGATTATTAATGAATTGAACAAACGAATCAATGCTTTGCTGGAGCAGCTTGAGGTCAGTTTATTGGGATTCAATGAGCAAAGAGACCAGTTGTCACCTCATATCATTGGTCTGTCACTGGCACCTCATGTCATTAGACTGTCACTGTCACCTCATATCATTAGACTGTCACCTCGTACCTTCAGACTGACACTGTCATCTCATATCATCAGACTGTCATCTCATATCATCAGACTGTCACCTGATATCATGAGACTGTCACCTCTTATCATCAGACTGTCACCGTCACCTCATATCATTGGACTGTCACCTCATATCATTTTGTCACCTCGTACCATCAGACTGACACTGACACCTCATATCATTAGACTGTCACCTCATATCATTAGACTATCACTGTCATCTCATATCATTAAACTGTCACCTCATATCATTAGACTGTCATTGTCACCTCTTATCGTCAGACTATCACCTTGTATCATGAGACTGTCACCTCATATCATTAGACTGTCACCTCGTACCATCAGACTGACACTGTCACATCATATCATGAGACTTTCACCTCATATCATGAGACTGTCTCTGTCACCTCGTACCATCAGACTGTCACCTCATACCATCAGACTGTCACTGTCACCTCATATCATGAGACTGTCACTGTCAGCTCGTATCATCAAACTGTCACTGTCACCTTGTACCATCAGACTGTCACTGTCACCTCATATAATCAGACTGTCACTTCATATCATCAGGCGATTACTGTCACCTCGTACCATAATAATGTCACCTCATACCATCAGACTGTCACTGTCATCTCATATAGTCAGACTGTCACTATCACCTCATATCATTAGACTGTCACCTCATATCGTCAGACTGTCACTGTCACCTCATATCATCAGGTGATCACTGTCGCCTCGTACCATCAGACTGTCACTGTCACCTCGTATCATCAGACTGTCACTGTCACCTTGTACCATCAGACTGCCGCTGTCACCTCATATCATTAGACTGTCACCTCGTACCATCAGACTGACACTGTCACCTCATATCATCAGACTGTCACTGTCACCTCATATCATTAGATGGTCACTGTCACCTTGTATTATCATACTGTCACCTCGTATCATTAGAGAGTCACCTTGTATCATTAGACTGACACTGTCACTGCGTATCATCCGACTATCACCTTGTATCACCATCAGACTGTGACTGTCACCTCGTATCAGACTGTCACTGTCACCTCGTATCATTAGACTGTCAGGGTGCCGATATTATAAGACTATTAACAATATTAATGAAAACGATCACTTGGGATACTAAGCGCAACCCTGAGCTGATGAGGGGGCTCATCCTTTTGGAAGATTTAGATTCTCTTTGGTGCTGTCCACACACTCAGTGCTTTTATCTTGTGGGTTTGCATCTCGTTCTAAGGTTTTATTTTTCTCTCAATGTTTTAATCACTAAAAGGCGAGGAATTAAAATTTCATGGAAGTCTGATATTTCTTCCCAGATGGAACTTAATACCTACCCTCATTTCTTGAGGTTAATTTCACATTATTATTATTAATATCGTTATTGTTTGTTAGTATGAGATTTGGGAATATATTAACCCATGTTTTCAAATTCTCTTTTAGAAAATTACAAGTGAGAAGCAGCACAAGCTCGAGCAGCAGCTCCAGTCTGTATTGGTTCTGAACCGGCAGCTGGAGCACGTCCAGAACTTCATTAACTGGGCCATGTATGGCAAAAACAGCATCTCATTCCTGTTTAGCAAGGAGCTGGTACGTACACTGCTAATGTCGCTAAATGTTGTTGTCCCCGTTTATGGCATCCCTGTATGAGAATTGAGGTTCCTTTGTTAGAATTTAGATCTTTTTATAACATTTTAGATCCTTATATAAGCAGTAGCTACCCCGTCAGGATTGGTTGCTGCTGTCCCGCCTGCCCATGATTCTCTGAAGGCTCAGGCCTTTCTGGACTGCATGGCTAACTTAGGACTCGTTTCTAATCATCACTATTTTTTACTGGCCACGTTGACTCCTTGCCCTTTGGACTCCCAATGACTCCCAATGTGTCTACCAGCATTTTCGCTCCTTCTATGACAAGCTAATGAGAGAGAAGCAAATGTGACATTATAAACCAACGATATGTGTGGGTGGACCATGATGGAAGAATTATCCAAAATTATAATTTTTAGAACGTTGATGGTAAAATTATAATTTTTAGAATGTTGATGGTAATTTTCTTCACCATTAATGTTGTCTTGTTTTTAATTTGAATGTTTTTTAATATATTTTTTTATTTTATTCTCCAGATTGTTTTCCAGATGCAACGTCTCCTGGAAACAAATTGTGGTTCCGATTTTGGACGCCCCATGAAGCTCAAGTTCAGTTGGGAGCCATCATATTGGAGCAAGCAGATAGCAAACTTGGGTAATACATCAGTGATTTACTTATAAGATGTTATCTTCCGTAGAGTTATTGTTTGACTGGTAGACAAGCATTATCCTTATTTCAATTGAGCAACAATTTTAATATCAAATAATAAATTACCATAAAAACAACAATTACCATTCAATGCCTAAATCTTTACTGTAACAGGAGCATCCATCGTGATCTGATATTTTTAGTAATTAAGGAATGTGAAGGTTTGTCATGGCTCTACTTTGTGTTTTTGATGATAATGAGATAAATCTTAGCTTTAAATACAGTAAGAATATAAAGTGTCCCTTCTGTGTCTCTTGTCATGTCTGCAGGTAACATACTGACAGAAGGTGCCAATGCCCCTCAGATGGAGGTAGCTAGCTATGGGTCGGTGGATGATGCTCAGTCCACCTATTATCAAACCCATCACACATCGAGCACACCTCACCCTGGATCCATCAATACTCCACAAGCCTTTCCTTCTCCAGTTCAGTGCCCGACTCCTGTGTGCTGTGCTCATTGCTACACTCTGCCTTTAGTTACCAAGGGCCAGTCCACAACCAGCTCCCTCAATCCACACATCACCTTTGCGCATCCCACTGGAATAAAGCAGCAACCTCTGCAGCCTGTGCAGTACAACTCGGGCAAAGAGCAGAGGTGCACGTCTCGACCTCTGAGAGTCATTCAACCGTGGCTTACTCATCAGCCATCCACGGACCACGAGAGCTCATCCTATTGGGTGGAGCAGCAAAAGCAACAACAGGTGGTACAACCCATACAAACCGTACCACCAGTTTGTTCTGTGACCACTCAGGACTTTGGACAGATCCATAATGTTCACACGACAGTACCTCTGAGCACGCCGTCCTTACAGGCACCCTCCGTACAAATGCAACTAGGCCCCGTCCACAGTGTGAGTCACATCCAGCAACAACGACACCAACATCCTGCACAGCCCACGCTGTGCCAAACCGAGAGTGCCCCCGAGCAGGTTATGCATCACAGTCTAGATATAATCAACCAGCAGTTCGAGCTGGAACAAATGCAGAAAGGCCTGGAACTTCTTCTCCAAAGTCAACCGTCAAATGTGCAGCTGAACCAGAGCAAGCAGCCGCAGCATGTGCAGCAAACTATAGTGGGACAGATCAACTATATAGTGCGGCAGCCAGCCACGGTTCCAATGCAGACACAAGAGGACGTACCACAGGTGAGATTCCGTGAGTCCTTTAATGGTATTCTTAGAATGGGTTCTGAGCCTTGGCATAAAATAATCAACAGACCAATGAAGGCCAACACGGGTACCACAACTTTTCCATACAATAGGCAGAAAGAATCGCCTATGGGGTACTGGGATATTTCAGAGTTTTTAAAGAAGTTTTCTATACTGCGTGCTGCTTAATTCCCAGAGTGCACTCGGTCTCCATTTCCATTGACTACCTATTTGCCACATCATTAAATCGCTGCAATATCTTTTTTTTAACTGGAGCCAGACTCTGTTGAGAAAAGTGGGATATATGCCTGTCCAGCTATAATTATTATGATTAAACCAGCCGTATTTGCTGACTTTGATTTTAGAGTTACTTTTTATATGTTACATGGTAGTATACAGCACAAGGAAGGCCAGATTACTCTTTTCTGATTTGGATCGTTTGCTATGTTGGTGCACCTCCCTTGTAATTGCAGCAGTATTATAGCATCAAGGTAATAGCGCTGAGTATGTTTGTTTTTAAAATTTTGAAATATTACCTGTATTATGGCTTATTTACATACGTATGATTTCACACAGGTTTGCGATGATACCATATCACCGGGTCATACTGTGGACCTCTCACCGGTTACCACCAACTCTCCCGGTATCATGCAGACACAGTCCATAGCAGACGAGATTATCGCTGCCGTGGAGAGCGACGCGTGCCGAATGAACCAGTTCTCTGCAAATCCAGTGAGGAAGGTGATTACTTTACAAAGGACCACACTTAAACAGCAGAGAATGACATTATGCAGGGCCATATTGATAGAATCAAATTAATTAATGACACAAAATGGCTTGGATGGCAGCATCCAGACAGAAAATGTGTAACTCATGGGACGTGACGAATTAAATGGAATTTAGTCACGACAATGTAAAAAAATGCACCATGCTTAGATGACATTTTGCTATACAATTCCACACCTTTCCGTTATCTGGTGTTACCTGCGCTGTGCGGAAACGTGGAATCTGAGAATACACAGCCATCGTCCTGTCCTCTTTATTCTCACAAACAGAAATCATTCACAGCTTATTCACAACGGACAGCCGCAAAGGCAGGATTGTGCTGTCAGGGATCATGCGCAGTCCTACAGATAGTAACATTATTTATACACATACACCATAACTAAGAGCAGCTGGTGTGCCGGAGGGCTCTGCTCCCTGGCCGTTTCAATCCCAGCAGCCTTGTTATCTGAGAAATAAGATATAATTTGTATTTTGCTCTCAGGAAAGTAGCAGAAGATCACTACAGAAATCTATCTATCTATCTATCATATCTATCTATCTATCTATCCATCCATCCACACATCATCTATTCATAGATAGATAGATATTCGTTTTGGAGTTACAATATTAGCTGTGTTAATCCAGTGATTAACTCAAGTATAAAACATTCATGAACAAAATGATATTATTTTCTCTCTTTTTTCCCCCCTCCTACTCTAATTAGACCTATGTACTATCTGCGCTGAGGTCACTTTAACCCCTATATTACAAATCAGGTGTCAATCTATGCGTTATTGTATGTATCAAGTCTATGAGTAATTTTGCACAGTAATGCTTTAAGCTCGATAAATGTAAAAGCTCCTCATTTGAAAATTCTGTTAGTCTCTGTTCCTGTACATCCAGGTGTCTGGTTATAATTACATGTCTGTTAGTCCACCAATTGTACAGCGCTATGGAATCTGATGACGCTATATAAATAATAAAATAATAATAATTATAAGATAATACGATTTTCTATTATTTTCCATGCATACATATATATGTGTATATAATATATAAATATAATGTGTGTTTTGTCATGTTTTATTTTAGCGTTCAGCCTCGGTGAGTTTCCCAAACACATCAGAGCTGGAATTATCGTCTCCGAGATTGTCGCGGTCAGTCGATCCACAGATGCAGGCTGTTTCATGTCAGTTTTTTGGTCAGGGCCCGGAAAGACCATTTTCCCCTGTCACGGAGACAGAGAGAACAAGTTACAGCACCGTGGAAGCAGGTATCTCGGATCCAGTACATCTCGGCTCTGCAGATCACCTAGCAACAACTGCGCCACTCCTGGGAAACGCCATCTGTAAGGTAAAATTTACTGATACACCTGGGTCCACAGGCAGAATTCACACGGGGAGCCACACTTGTTTATTTCCCTGAGCTCCAGAAGTAAAATATCCTGTTGTCAAAATGTATCTTTATTTCCAAGGACGTACTGTTAACCATTTGATTGCAGAAGGAGAGACTGATGCATCTTCTTGGATGACATCATTTTGTTGTGCAAAGGATAAATGAATAATATAAGCCTGTATTCAGAATGCTGTAGTGCCCCTGTCCCTAGTTAATAAAATAAAAGTTTTATTTACATTTTTCCGGCGGTGAGAGTCCCTTTGTGCTGCTCACCTCCGCGCCTCCTGCTACGTCAGCGGTAATGTATGGCTTCCTCAGGTGAAGTTCCAATACAGTACTCCTCATAGAGGAGTACTGGGGACCCAATGTGCATGTGCGGCCAATTAATCTAAGCTACACTTTAGGAATGCATTGAATCCAATTCATTTCTATGGGCTGCCACATCATGTGACCAAGTTTTACTCGGTCCATGCAGTGGAAGCGCCTCTAGTGGCTCTAGGAAGATAACTGCTAGAAGTGGTTTAACCCTCTAGTGGAAACATTGCCATTTCTTAAAGTGTCACTGTCACTTTGCCGCTTGTGGTCCGGTGGCCAGGGGGCAGGGTAAGATGAGATTTACTTACCTGAACCTGCCCCTTGCAGGACCCGACACCTTCCAGCCAGTCCGCTTCTGCTCGAGCCGACGTCACTGCTGTAATCTTACGCATGTGCATGTGACAGTGCCACTTTAAAATCTACATTATACATTGCAGGGTTAAAAGGACAGGGAGACAGCATGGACAGGCACATTGAGATATAGTGGTCTGGGGGACTGTAGTTTACCTCTAAAGATAAAATTGTATGTAGTCACTGTTCTAGTTAAATCACATGACTGACAGATACGTTACTTTATGCAAAATGAACAAGCTGTAACTATAATAAAGATGGAGTTTTGTAAAAAGAGTGCTAATCCCAGAGTTAGTTTTAAATACAATGTGCAACACAAGACAATGCATTAAATAACCTTCCACAGAATATTAACATTAAATAATATTTTAATTAGTAGTCAGCAGCCCATTGGTACATAATATTTGATAGAGTCCTAACCTCAACATCCGAGGAAAGGGATTTAGGGGTTATTATTTCTGATGACTTAAAGGTAGGCAGACAATGTAATAGAGCAGCAGGAAATGCTTGCAGAATGCTTGGTTGTATAGAGAGAGGTATTAGCAGTAGAAAGAGGGAAGTGCTCATGCCATTGTACAGAACATTGGTGAGACCTCACTTGGAGTATTGTACACAGTACTGGAGACTGTATCTCCAGAAGGATATTTATACTTTAGAGAGAGTTCAGAGAAGGGCTACTAAAGTGGTTCATGGATTGCAGGATAAAACTTACAAGGAAAGGTTAAAGGATCTTAACATGTATAGCTTGGAGGAAAGACGAGACGGGGGGATATGATAGAAACATTTAAATACATAAAGGGAATCAACACAGTAAAGGAGGAGACTATATTTCAAAGAAGAAAAACTACCACAACAAGAGGACATAGTCGTAAATTAGAGGGACAAAGGTTTAAAAATAATATCAGGAAGTATTACTTTACTGAGAGGGTAGTGGATGCATGGAATAGCCTTCCAGCTGAAGTGGTAGAGGTTAACACAGTAAAGGAGTTTAAGCATGCGTGGGATAGGCATAAGGCTATCCTAACTATAAGATAAGGCCAGGGACTAATGAAAGTATTTAGAAAATTGTGCCGAATGGTTGTTATCTGCCGTCACATTCTATGTTTCACAATCTCACACTCCCGGCTCTCTGTATTATGGTCTATCAATCTTTATCAATAGGTTGAGAATGAAGACTTCAGCTGCGGAAATTCATCCATTACCACTGCTCTGGGAAATGACAGCTCAAATACTCTGAATGATTTAGTTATGCCTTTAGAAAATATTTTCGATGAGCCAATCAATTTGTCCATTAAGAGATGCGTCCCGTCTGAGTCTTCCTCTGTGGCCAGGAGAAACAACACACCGCAACCGCCACCTCCTCCTCCTATTAAACAACTAAAAAACGAAGCAGGTATTTATTTACCACCAGGGATTCTGGGTAATATCACACCTTACCCCATAATCACACAGTATAAAGAGCGCCCCCTGCAGCCAAGGATTCTGGGTAATAACCTGCCTTACCCCATAATCACACATTATACAGAGCGCCACCTGCAGCCAGGGACTCTGGGTAATAACCCAGCTTACCCAATAATCACACAGCGTACAGAGCGCCCCCTGCAGCCAGGGATTCTGAGTAACAGCCTGGCTTTTGTTTCAGTTTGCACTAATTATGAGACTTATTTTGGTAAAAATGGGATATAAAAGAAATGTATTGTACTTGGACTTCCACTTGTCTGTATGATGATGATGATAAAAGTTATCATACGGAGAATATCAGATGAAATATGTAGCCAGCAATGACTCATGTCTAAATATCACTCTGTATATTATTTCTTTTAGATGAAAATCATAGTTTTAATGAGCATTTTACCGAAGACATTAAACGGAGTGAAAACACAAACAGGTAAATATCAAATGTGTTTAGACTAATCTGAAATAAATGTCACCATCTTATTACAGCAAAGAGTGTAAAGAATATGACATGCCGTTTTACTGAAATGGATGTGCTCCATGTCCATATAAACTGCATTATATATATCTCTGGATCAGTAAACAATCTATAACACGTCTGGAAAACAACAAACAATAGGGGTTTCATGGGAAATTGTGCAAAAAGGGCACAATTAAAGGTTGCGCCTATGTATAAAATGACCTAATCATTCATTTGTCTCCAGATATGTATAATATAGGTTCAAAATCACTTTATTGAACTACAATTCTTTGCCATCCTGTGTCTGGTGTTAAAATGTCACAAATTAAAGGAAAACCGTCACCTCAAAATTATCTTTAGTATAAAAAAACCTTCACCAAGTTTTGAAAGGAAATAGAATTTTATGAATGAAGTATGTGTAAATGAGAAAAACCTCATCCCTACCTTTAGTGTATGACAGTATCCTACAGCCATAAACATACACCTTGGGTTGGACTGCATTTGAATCTGACATTTAGTCTCTATGTTCTTCCCTGTTTCGGTGCAGGGAGTGAAGCAGGGAAGATCATAGAGACTAACTCTCTGTATTCAAACGCTGTCCAACCCAAGGTGCATGTCTATGGCTGAAGGATCCTGTCATATATTAAAGGTAGGGATAATTATTATTATTTTTTTTTTTTTTTTTTTTACATATACTTTATTTAATATATATATATATTTGATTTTAAACCTTGGTGAAAGGACTATATTAAAAATAGTTTTGAGGTGACAGTTGTTCTTTTAAATTCGTGCAGATGTACTGCATTTTGTTCTCATCTTCATACACGCGGTGCAGGCACAAAGATAAAGTTATCACCATATGGTCCGCGTAGTCCATTTTGCCAGGAGGCTTTCCTGTTTGATGAGATAGATTGTGGGTATCATGTACGGTAAAGTCTGGAAACACATTATTGATATCAGTGCGAATGTTTTTGTTTTTTTCTCCATAATTGTGTCTCAGATTGCTTCCCTGATTTAAAAGAGTCTTACCCTTCCTGCCTGATAGCTTATTGACCCGACCTGTAAAATTGTTAAACTGAGACAATATGGTGCTTCTTGTATACCGTACTTTACTCAAATCAATAAACTTTTATTTCCAAAATAAATATATATATATATATATATATATATATGTATCAGTAAATAGATCACACTTGGTGTTAGAGATTGCACCATTATTTATACATAACCCCAAAATTGTCTGTGATCTCTTCTGGCTATCTGAGCATCATGAAAAATGTAAAGGTTTAACAGTTAATAAGATATTTTTAGGAGCCTACATTCCAGAATGTGTCATTTAGGCCATCTCTCTTACACCTGTCTCATTTTTGAATTCTGCACTAGTTAAAAAAAATATATTTTTTTGAAAAATTAGTAGGCATTGGGAAATAGGAACATTCACAAAACGTGTTGTCTTCTAACATCTAATATTTTTCTGATTGGAGAGAGATTGTTATAGGCATGCATGACATATTACAATGTGCTCAATTCGAGGTTGGTTTAGGGTTATGGTGTCTTAGAGTTTAGGAATACCTGCCTTTAGTATGCATTTTGCTGTAACTCACATGATCCGCAGACGGTCTATTTTACTTATATTGGTCTGTAAATATCATCCTGGTATCACACAGTATTGAAGGTATCGCATGTAGAATTCAGTAATGTGTTCCGTACCCTTTCCAGGAAATAAATGTTTCTGTGTTCCATCAGATCAGAAGTAAAAGAAACTAAGATCCCCTATGTACGCCTGGAGCGTCTGAAAATCTGTCCCCCTGATTCCGGTGAGCTTCCGGTGTTTAAAGTGCAGCCTCAAAACAAAGATGAAGATGGGTCTCTCCGTTTGCTTATTAAATATGGGGCCAGATCTAAGAGCATGTCCATAAAGGTAGGTAGTGGTCCTGTAATGGGATATCCAAACTCCAGCTGATATAGAGCAATCCTCATGCAATATGCCCCTCTGACTTGGACCACTGCCCACTTGTGACACCCACTAGCACAACATTGACCATTAGACTGTTACAAGACGCAAAAAAAAGATTTGTCCTAAATTAATTTTTTGTTTGGGTGGATTGAAATTTGTCCATGTGGCATTTCAGCTTGGACGAATCTCAACCATGGAATCATCTTAGAAAAACTTTTTTGGACAAATCAAAAGGGCACAAAAATGGGCCGATCGGTGTACTTCAAAATATATACATAAACAGGACAGACGCATTTTACACCACTTTGTTCACAGATCAAGATGATGAGACAAAGTAACCAATAAATGGAAAAAGAGGAAGAGCAATACAAAAACACCTTTATTTATATTTTTATACCTATGAAATATTTACATATAGATTTGTTTTACTGCTCTTCATTTTGTTCCTTCTATTGGTCATTTCTCGCTTGATCTATTTTTCCTCTTCCTAGTAATCATCTCGTTTTTTTTTTGTGGCGCCGTGGGTGATGTTCAGAATCACCCAACAAATGTAACTGTTTGTCCATTGTCCGTGTTGTTGTTTTTTTTTTATACATCCATATGGTGCTTAGGAGTTATGGAATTCAGACGACCTGCTAATCGCCCAAAATTCTGATGAATTGCAATTTGTTTGAAAAACCCGAATGGACAAGTCTACTGGCCAAACTTGGTGTGTTATCAGATTGGCTTTACAAGAGGCAGGGAACCATTGTATTTGATATCTATTCTCCAGCCTGCAATGCAGAATATCATTTGGATTTTTAACTCCTTAGTTAATTCCAGATCATAATGTTAACATAATTTCTAATTTGGTTGTGTTTTAGGTAAACCCAGACAGTCCGTACCCTTCCCCATCAACCACAGACATACCATCTCAGCTGCCGTTGATATTTGGTTCAGAATCGGTATCTCAGATGGCCACTCGCTCATTTCATCAGCTCCCGCAGCAAGTCAAACCCTTTTCCAGGTTAAATGCCTTTGCTAGCAGTGCTCAGGAGTCCAGGGGTCCTCTAGATCTGTCGGATAGTTCCATGGGCAGCCGAACATCTGACTGCAAGGTCAATGCTGGACCCTCAACCACAAAGAAGTCCTTTGAAGACCCAAATCAGATAGAGAATGAGGATTTCTGTGCTGTGTGTTTGAACGGAGGGGAGATGCTGTGCTGTGATCACTGCCCAAAAGTATTTCACCTCTCGTGCCATGTTCCAGCACTCCTGAGCTTTCCAGTGTGAGTACATCAATGGGGCCGAGAAGGGAGTCACAAAAAAAAAAAAATTACGGTTGGCACCTGGTGCTTTGACATTTTATTTACATTTAATAGTCATACGTTTCTTTGCTAAGTAGAAAAGATCAGGTTTCCTCCTAACGTACTCATTGATACCAAGCAAACATGACTATAGGTTATTAAGTTCATATTGATTATTATTTGCATTATTGGTGTGATTTTTCTCTCTTGAAAATTTAGTTGAGGACTCTGTGTGTTGGGTCTTGTGAGACCTATTTATATAATTTTTTTATTTATTGGTTTCGAAGTACATTGATTAATGAGATGCACCCCAGGCGGCGAGTGTCTTTTTTTTTTTTTTTTTTACTTATTAATTAAATTGAATATCTTGTGTATTACATTTTCTTATTTAATGTTCATAAGTCAGTTCTGCAGCCATAAGGAATGTATTGTCATTGTATTAGTAAAATAGCACATGACCCTGTTGTTAGTGTTTGCTGTCGATGTTGATGTAAATTATTGGCTGTGCATGCTACATGGGGGTGGTATTAGCAGGAGAATTTAAAAATGTTTAAATATTTCTTTCAGCGGTGAATGGGTTTGCACATTATGTAGAAACCTGAACAAGCCAGAGGAATATGACTGTGATAATATTCGGTATAGCCTTGAAACGAAAGATGAAGAGGGGAATTTGCCAAATCTTGATGAATACGACCAAAGGGTAAAGGAAAAATAATATCATTTTTGTATTCTTAATGTGCTTTATATTCATTTTGAATAATGTGTTTTATCTACTGCAATTTTTATTTGATTCCACCAAAGTTATGTGAAAATAGACACCAGCTCTGCACCGTTGTGAGAAAGCTCTCTCTATTAATCCACTCTACTCTGTAAATTAATTTTCTTGTTTAATTTTCGCCTCTTTTGATTATCTGGGTGTTGGCATCACCTCCTGTTTCATAAGACTCAGGCATCTTCCCAAACTGTCTTGTTACCATTACTTATGTTTGTGTTTATCTGCTCTCGAGTATGTTAGTGCTTCATAAAATGATAACTGAAACAGTTTAATAAAACCACGTAAAAACCTATTACACTCTTTAATTTAAAGGATCACTATAGTGCTAGGAAAACATACTCGTTTTCCTGGCACTATAGTGCCCTGAGGGTGCCCCCACCCTCAGGGTCCCCCTCCCGCCTGGCTCTGGAAGGGGGAAAGGGGTAAAAACTTACCTTTTTCCAGCACTGGGCGGAGAGCTCTCCTCCTTCTCTCCTCCTCCGTTCCGCCCCGTCGGCTGAATGCGCACGCGCGGCAAGAGCTGCGCGCGCATTCAGACGGTCGCATAGGAAAGCATTTACAATGCTTTCCTATGGACGCTTGCGTGCTCTCACCGTGAAAATCACAGTGAGAAGCACGCAAGCGCCTCTAGTGGCTGTCAATGAGACAGCCACTAGAGGAATTGGAGGAAGGCTTAACCCATTAATAAACATAGCAGTTTCTCTGAAACTGCTATGTTTATTAAAAAATGGGTTAACCCTAGCTGGACCTGGCACCCAGACCACCTCATTAAGCTGAAGTGGTCTGGGTGCCTAGAGTGGTCCTTTAATAAAGTGGCTCTGTTACCTTCTGGGGTCTTTCCAAATTGTTCAAAGACCTTTGATTGTGATTTTGCCGCTGGTGGTTCGGTGGCTGCACGGGTCCTGGTAAAGGTGAGTTTTATTTACCTGAACCTGTTCTTCTCAGCCACTGCCATCTTCTTCCTCGAGGTTCTCTTCAGCTCCTGTCCTTTCATCTGCTAGTAGCCAACACCATTGTTGTACTCTTGTGAATGTGTGAGAGTGCTACAGAGATGTCTGTGGAGGCTCTTGTGAGACCTCTGTACATAGACAGAGTCTTCTTCCCCTCAGCCGTCACCAGGATTCCTCTCCTACAACTGTCACAAACCCTTCCACTTCTCCCCCCAAATAAACCCAATAGGTCTTCAGTAAATACTATTTACTTTTCTACCACTACCTTTTGTGTCACATTACCCCACTCCCTTAATCATGTAAGCTCATTGAGCAGGGCCCTCAAACCCTCTGCTCCTGTGCGTCCAACTCGTCTTGTTACAGTTACGTGTTTGTTAGTCCACCCATTGTACAGCGCTGCAGAATTTGTTGGCGCTATGTAAACAATAATAATGGAGGAGTACTAAACAAGACTTGACAGCAATAGCGTCTTTTTTTTTAGGTGTTGTCAATCGTTCCTACTTTGTCTTATGATATCTTTTCAGTGAAATTCCAACACAGACTTTATGAGCAGTGGCGTACTAAGGAGGGGGCGGTACGCCCCGGGTGCCACCAGGGTGGGGGTGCCATGACCCTGGTCTGGGTGCTGGAGGGGGCTGTGTGAGCTGTACGGCCTCACAGTGCTCCCCCATGGTAGTTAGGGTGCCGGGCGACCAGAACAGCTCACACAGGCAAAGAGCAGCTGAACTGGCTGCACAGAGATAAAGTGGGGGCGGAGCTAATACAAATTGGGGGCGGGGCTTAATACAGCCCTCACCCGCTGCTGTTACTGCTGCACATGGAGGTGTAGCAAGAAGGAATCCCTGCTTCTCCACAGGCTTCAGGGAAGGACTTCAGTGAATCCAGTCCTCCTCTAGCCCACTGTCTGTAAGTAAGAGTGTGTGTCTGTGTGTGTGACTGTGTGTGTGTAAGACTGTCTACCTGTAACTGTGTGTGTAACTGTCTGCCTGTAACTGTGTGTAGCGGAGAGCTGGTATTACACAGCCTATCTCCACTTTGGATCCCAGTGAGGCTCAGGAACAAGCAATTATAAATCCATAGGGCAAAGTATCCAGCAGGCAAAATAACACAGCAGTATCCCAACAGCACTCCCAATAACTGGACGACACACAGTATCAGGAGCAGAACTAAAGATTTATTCATACAGTGGCCTTATAAAGCCTGCTCCCATGCAAGGGAGGGATTTCCATTCATTAGTACAGTAGCCAATCCTGTTCTGGTAACCTCCCACACATCTCCTCCCCTCAGCCTACATCATAATCCCCTTATCCAGGACACCAATTCCCCACGTTTCTGGATGTACCCCTAAACCTAGGGGTACCGCTTTAAATTATACATACCCTGGTAGCCCTGATCTGGGTGAACAACATATCCAAAAATCACCCAGATCAGACCAGGGGTTCAGGAAATTTATGGAGGTATTAAAATGACCGACCGCGCTGGAAAGAGTAGCCGAATTGGGTTCCATGCGATGGGGCCCTGCGGTCGGTCCTGAAACAAGGGAATACATTACACAAAAGCCTCCAGTTACAGAGACTAGGGAGGGTTCGCCTGAATCCCCTCGTTCAGTTGTTTCTCTCTACCGAACGAGGGGCCGTTCGGTAGTTTGGAACCGAACGGACCGGGCTTGTGGAGGTCTCAGCGGTGTTCGCCTAGTCGAGTGTCCGATTTGAGTTCCAGACACTCGACGGCAAAACACCGCTGTTCGGGAGTTTTAAAATGGCCGCCCCCACGTGTTCATTTCCCGAATGGTGGCCACCCCCGAGAACAAAGGACTACTACTCAGCTTGTCAATTACCCGTTCGCAACAATGTTGCAACGGGTAATTGAAGGCACACTTCACACCGGGGAGGTCTCACTGTTCGGTAGTTTCATTCCCTTATTTGTTGGAATGATTCTACCGAACAATCAGATGAATACAATACATTTAACACATATAACTTTGCCATTTACACGAATGCAGTAAAAACCTATGTAATTCTCAGGACAGCCCAGTGCCATCCGCTACACTGTGTGTGTGTGTATGTGTGTGTGAGACTGTCTGTGTGTAACTGTCTGCCTGTAACTGTGTGTGTGTGTGTGTGTGTAAGTGTGTGTGTGTGCCAATGTATATGTGACTTTCTGCCTGTAACTGTGTGCATGACTCTGTGACTGCATGTGTGACTGTCTGCCTGTAACTGTGTGTGACTGTATGCCTTTAACTGAGTGTGTGACTGTCTGCAGGGATGTGGGGCTGCAGAGATTTTGTAGAAGGGGGTAGGGGTTTTGTATTGGGGCAGGTGTCTTTATAAGGGGGGATAAGCAGGGGATTTGTGGAAGGGGGCTGCGGGGGTAGTACAGGATTTGTAGAAGGGGGCAGGACAGGGGTTTTTTAGGAGGGGGCGGGGCAGGACAAGGGTTTTATAGGAGGGGCTGACAGCGGTTTTGCAAAGTTTACAAATTGTAAAAAAAAAAAAGAAAACCTTTAACATTTTTTTTGGGGGGGGTTGGGGTGGAGGGGAGGCGAGGGGGTGCCAAGCACAGGATCCGCCCCGGGTGCCAAATGCTCTAGGTACGCCCCTGTTTATGAGTATTTCAGAAAAAATTTTATCGTTATGAAATGCCCGTAATATTAATTTCTAGGAGGGTGAGAGGGGGGGCGGGCTAGCATAGCTGCTTTAAATGTTTTTCAATGGCTGGAAATCTTAAGGCCGGGGAATGATCTGTCCTTTGTTGTTTCATTGCAGAGGTGTGAAAAGATGGTGCTATCTCTGTGCTGCAATAACCTGAGTCTCCCTTTCCAAGAGCCGGTCAGCCCTCTGGTGAGTTGGCGTTTGTTTCCTGGAGAACAGCATACTCTGGGCACATTGGCGAGAAGGGAGAACGAGTCCACACTCAGGGGAAGAATACATATGACGCATTTTTTTACCCATTAAAAGCACCCTTAGGGATTCTTTGTTAGAAACCACAATTTAAAACAAGAATGGCACCAGTGTAAGGATGCTTTATTTATACAGCGCTAACAGGTGTACTTAGCGCTTTACAGCTTACATTACCGTAGAGGGATGTACAGTAAGTGCAGTAGGTATACAGTGTATGTATATTTTATTTATATAGCACTAACAGGTTTACTCAGCACTTTACAGGTTACATTACAGTAGAGGGAGGTACAGTAAGTGCAGTAGGTATACAATGTATGCATATTTTATTTATATAGCTCTAACAGGTGTACTTAGCACTTTACAGATTACATTACAGTAGAGGGAGGTACAGTAAGTGCAGTAGGTATACAGTGTATGCATATTTTATTTATATAGCACTAACAGGTTTACTCAGCACTTTACAGGTTACATTACAGTAGAGGGAGGTACAGTAAGTGCAGTAGGTATACAGTGTATGTATATTTTATTTATATAGCTCTAACAGGTATACTTAGCACTTTACAGATTACATTACAGTAGAGGGAGGTACAGTAAGTGCAGTAGGTATACAGTGTATGTATATTTTATTTATATAGCGCTAACAGGTGTACTCGGCATTTTACATGTTACATTACAGTAGAGGGAGGTACAGTAAGTGCAATGGGTATACAGTGTATGTATATTTTATTTATATAGCGCTAACAGGTGTACTCAGCACTTTACAGGTTACATTACAGTAGAGGGAGGTACAGTAAGTGCAGTAGGTATACAGTGTATGTATATTTTATTTATATAGCACTAACAGGTGTACTTAGCGCTCTACAGGTTACATTACAGTAGAGGGAGGTACAGTAAGTATACAGTATATGTATATTTTATTTATATAGCGCTATTAGGTGTACTTAGCACTTTACAGGTTACACTGCAGTAGAGGGAGGTACAGTAAGTGCAGTAGGTATACAGTGTATGTATATTTTATTTATATAGCGCTAACAGGTATACTTAGTGCTTTACATGTTACATTACAGTAGAGGGAGTTACAGTAAGTGCAGTAGGTATACAGTGTATGTATATTTTATTTATATAGCGCTAACAGGTATACTTAGTGCTTTACAGGTTACATTACAGTAGAGGGAGGTACAGTAAGTGCAGTAGGTATACAGTGTATGAATATTTTATTTATATAGCGCTAACAGGTGTACTTAGCGCTTTACAGGTTACATTACAGTAGAGGGAGTTACAGTAAATGCAGTAGGTATACAGTGTATGTATATTTTATTTATATAGCACTAACAGGTGTACTTAGCGCTTTACAGGTTACATTACAGTAAAGGGAGGTACAGTAAGTGCAATAGGTATACAGTGTATGTATATTTTATTTATATAGCGCTAACAGGTTTACTCAGCACTTTACAGGTTACATTACAGTAGAGGGAGGTACAGTAAGTGCAGTAGGTATACAGTGTATGTATATTTTATTTATATAGCGCTAACAGGTTTACTCAGCACTTTACAGGTTACATTACAGTAGAGGGAGTTACAGTAAGTGCAGTAGGTATACAGTGTATGTATATTTTATTTATATAGCGCTAACAGGTGTACTTAGTGCTTTACAGGTTACATAACAGTAGAGGGAGATACAGTAAGTGCAGTAGGTATACAGTGTATGTATATTTTATTTATATAGCGCTAACAGGTGTACCTAGCGCTCTACAGGTTACATTACAGTAGAGGGAGGTACAGTAAGTATACAGTATATGTATATTTTATTTATATAGCGCTATTAGGTGTACTTAGCACTTTACAGGTTACACTGCAGTAGAGGGAGGTACAGTAAGTGCAGTAGGTATACAGTGTATGTATATTTTATTTATATAGCGCTAACAGGTGTACTTAGCGCTTTACAGGTTACAATACAGTAGAGGGAGATACAGTAAGTGCAGTAGGTATACAGTGTATGTATATTTTATTTATATAGCACTAACAGGTGTACTTAGCACTTTACAGGTTACGTTACAGTAGAGGGAGGTACAGTAAGTGCAGTAGGTATACAGTGTATGTATATTATATTTATATAGCGCTAACAGGTGTACTTAGCGCTTTACAGGTTACATTACAGTAGAGGGAGGTACAGTAAGTGCAGTAGGTATACAGTGTATGTATATTTTATTTATTTAGCGCTAACAGGTGTACTTAGCACTTTACTAGTTACATTAGATTGTTTTTATTTGTTTAATGATCAAAACGTCCATTAAAAACACATATTGAAACATTGTATATTCTATATAGAGATATTCTGGGAGACATTTCAAAATAAGCAGCAGTCACGTTGGAATCCAGTAAACACTCCCTACAGTCCACATTTAGCTCGCTGCTCTTAGTTCATTTCTCTGTGACACCTTTATATCTCTTCCCTAAAGACTTAAATATTTTTACAATAGTGTCACAGTTTTCTAAATTTGACTTTAATTATTAAAGTCATATTCTTACTTATTTTTTTAATTAAGGCACGTCACTATTTCCAGATAATTAAACGGCCAATGGATCTGTCCATTATACGTAAGAAGCTCCAGAGACGGAATGTGCCCCATTACTCCACCCCCGAGGAGCTGGCGTATGACATACGGCTTATGTTTTGGAATTGCGCAAAGTTCAATTATGTGAGTACTATGAGCTGGCACTGGAGTTCCGAATTCTGAATTCAGGAACAGAATACTTTAAAGGAAAACTGTCATCAGTTTGTATTAATAGTAAACCAAAATGCTTGAAATGAAAATGGGAGAAGTTGCAAATATTTCCTCTGTTAAATTCTGAATATACGGTAATTTGACAATGCAGTATGAACAGTTTTACAAATAACAGGGAAAAAAAAGGGCGGCACGGTTAACGAAGCACTTCAAAGAACATAACCACTACAGCGTGCTGTAATGGTTATGGTGTGGGAACGTCTGCCCCCCTGTTAGCTGTAGTGGAGCAAGGAGCAAAACCTTTCAAAAATTGTTTAATTATAATGGGGGTACCAGGACACTCACAGCACCAAAACCACTACAGCAAACTACAGTGGTTACGGTGTTTGGAGTGTTCCTTTAAATCATCAGTAGTATAAGTTTAATGATTCTACCTGAAGGATGAAATCTTACAGTAATCTCCACTGGTGCACAGTATGTAGTTCGTTACAGATGATATAATGATAAACAGGCGGCTGATGATTTGTTTGGTCCTAACAGGAGGATTCGGAGGTAGCTGTGGCTGGGAGGAAGTTAGAGCTGTTTTTTGAGAACATGTTGAAGGAGACTTATCCGGATAAGATCTTTCCATTTCCTCAAGAAGAAGACTCAGACTCTGAGGAGATAGACAATGAAAACTGCCCTCTGGGTTTTAAAGCTTTTCACTGGCCGTCCTATGGAGCAGAATGCATTCAGCCAAAACGCAGGAGACGCCACACGGTCGGCCAGAAAACAAAGGAATTCACCTTGTGCTAACACTGTCACCAGTATCGCAGGGATTATCAAGTGCACAATATGGAAGAAAACTCTGGAAAATATCCGGCCACGCTCATGCAAAATCTAAATAAACATTATAGAAATAAGATATTGACTGATAAAGAAATAACGGTTGAAATTAAAGATTTCCATTCTGGATTCAGATGAGAATGTGGATTACTAACAGTGTAGCTGATTGCAAACAAAGAACAGCGTTGTGACTGCTTGTCATCGTTTTATGTGACATTTTCAAACTACAGACCCCAGCTGTTCCCGTTTTTGCCAAAAGCCACTTTTCACATCGGACTTGGATTTGCAAATACTGTCCTCAAAATTGTCCGGGTTTCAACATTTTCAAAAACGAAACCATTTGCTGAATGTATATAAAAAAGAAAAAAAAAGAAAAACAATTATTCAAAACATTTTATCAGTTGCTTTTATATCTAAACACTGAAAATGAGATGAGGATTTGTAACATCATTTATTTCTTAATGCTAGGTTTTAATGACAATTACCATTTAGAGAAATGTACTATTCATAGAAAGTTGATAATAAAAACAAAAAAAAGTAATTCTGTTTTTTCTGTTTGTTTCAGAAAAAAATAAATGTTGTTTAGAGTTAAATAGTGAAGTTATTTTTTATTGCAAATAAGTAACAGCTAGCCTTGGATTCTCGGTTATTAGTGAACTCCATTTCTCAAGAACCTCGCCATTCTAAAACCAACACTGGCATAGGGGAATAAAAAGAGCAAATGCAAATTTCTTCTTGAAAGTTTGTTTGTTTGTTTTTATCCCTTTAAGTCTTTTTTTAAGTCTTCAGGTTCTCAGTTTGTGTGTCTGTTTTGTGAAACATTGTGTGTGATGATGTGTTTATAGTGCGCCGCATGCTGACTTGTAACATACTGCCAATTTAATTACTTCCTACAGACACTTCCTGTGTTGGTCTCACATGGCTTTGCCTACAATGGGTTAGCTTTCAATTTCTTCCTGTAGATAAATTACTTTATAATGAATTTACCATTTTTGTGATTAATATGAACAGGAACACAGAATATGTGTTAAATTTATTCAAATTATTTTACTTACAAACTCCAACTCCCAGGAACCTCAGACTTATAACGCACAGAAGCGTTTGTGTCACAGGTGACTATTACCCTATATAAGTCCATCAATAGATGCAGGGCTTGCTGTGTTTATACACTATATAAATCCATAGTTAGATAGAAGCAGGGCTTGCTCTGTTTATACACTATATAAATCCATAGATAGATACAAGCAGGGCTTGCTCTGTTTATACACTATATAAATCCATAGATCGATACAAGCAGGGCTTGCTCTGTTTATACACTATATAAATCCATAGATCGATACAAGCAGGGCTTGCTCTGTTTATACACTATATAAATCCATAGATAAAGCAGGGCTTGCTCTGTTTATACACTACAGTATATAAATCCATAGATAGAAGCAGGGCTCGCTCTGTTTATATGCTATATAAATACATAGATAGATATAAGCAGGGCTCGCCCTGTTTATACACTATATAAATCCATAGATTGATAGAAGCAGGGCTTGCATTGTATATATGCTATATAAATCCATAGATTAATAGAAGCAGGGCTTACCCTGTTTATACCCTATATAAATCCATAGATAGAAGCAGGGCTTGCTGTGTTTATACACTATATAAATCCATAGATTGATAGAAGCAGGGCTTGCATTTTACATATGCTATAGAAATCCATAGATAGAAGTAGGACTCGCTTTGTTTATACACTATATAAATACATAGATGGATAGAAGTAGGGTTCGCTCTGTTTATACACTATATAAATCTATAGATTGAAGCAGGGCTCACTCTGTTTATACACTATATAAATTCATAGATTGATAGAAGCAGGGCTTGCTATGTTTATACACTATATAAATCCATAGATAGAAGCAGGACTCACTCTGTTCATACACTATATAAATCCATAGATTGATAGAAGCAGGGCTTGCATTGTACATATGATATAGAAATCCATAGATAGAAGCAGGACTCGCTCTGTTTATACACTATATAAATCCATAGATAGAAGCAGGGCTCACTCTGTTTATACCCTATATAAATCCATAGATTGATAAAAGCAGAGCTTATAGAAACATAGAATGTGACAGCAGATAAGAACCATTCGGCCCATTTAGTCTGCCCATTTTTTTTAAATACTTTCATTAGTCCCTGGCCTTATGGCTTGCATTGTATATATGCTATATAAATCCATAGATAGATAGATAGATAGAAGCAGGGCTCACTCTGTTTATACACTATATAAATCCATAGATAGATAGAAGCTGGGCTCACTCTGCTTATACACTATATAAATCCATAGATAGAAGCTGGGCTCACTCTGCTTATACACTATATAAATCCATAGGTATATAGAAGCAGGGCTAGCTCTGTTAATATGCTATATACATACATACATACATAGAAGCAGGGCTCACTCTGCTTATACACTATATAAATCCATAGATTGATAGAATCAGGGCTCGCTCTGTTTATACACTATATAAATCCATAGATAGATAGAAGCAGGGCTCGCTCTGTTTATACACTATATAAATCCATAGATAGATAGAAGCAGGGCTCACTCTGTTTATACACTATATAAATCCATAGATAGATAGAAGCAGGGCTCACTCTGTCTATACACTATATAAATCCATAGATTGATAGAATCAGGGCTCGCTCTGTTTATACGCTATAGAAATCCATAGATGGATAGAAGCAGGGCTCACTCTGTCTATACACTATATAAATCCATAGATTGATAGAATCAGGGCTCGCTCTGTTTATACACTATAGAAATCCATAGATAGATAGAAGCAGGGCTCACTCTGTCTATACACTATATAAATCCATAAATTGATAGAATCAGGGCTCGCTCTGTTTATACACTATAGAAATCCATAGATAGATAGAAGCAGGGCTCACTCTGTCTATACACTATATAAATCCATAGATTGATAGAATCAGGGCTCGCTCTGTTTATACACTATATAAATCCATAGATTGATAGAATCAGGGCTCGCTCTGTTTATACACTATAGAAATCCATAGATAGATAGAAGCAGGGCTCACTCTGTCTATACACTATATAAATCCATAGATTGATAGAATCAGGGCTCGCTCTGTTTATACACTATAGAAATCCATAGATTGATAGAAGCAGGGCTCGCTCTGTTTATACACTATATAAATCCATAGATAGATAGAAGCAGGGTTCACTCTGTTTATACTCTATATAAAATTATATCTATAGATAGACAGAAGCTGGGCTTGCACTGTATATATGCCATATAAATGCATTTATAGATAGAATCAGGGATCACTTGGTTTGTACACTAAACAATCCATAACACAAAGTACATAATTTGCAAACAATAATACTGCCACCTAGTGACAACATGCCTTCATTACTCTGAAAACTGTCATTTGAACACTATCAGGGACTGGGTTCACTAAAGTGAGAAGTCAAGGTGAATTTGAAATTTAAATAGCCAACTACAGAAATTATCCAAGTCAACAATGCTTTCAATTCAACTACTTAAATCATAAATTTACTTTGAAATGTTACTTTAGTAAATAATCCTTTAAAAATAGTGTTTTGAAACCACCCTCCTGCACCTAAGAGGCATTGAAACCAGGGGTTGGGTAAAATGTGTGTTCTTCATATATTTGTCTATGTGTCTGTATCTGTGTGTATATCTGTGTCTGTATCTATATTTATGTGTCTGTGTCTATATGTATATCTGTGTGTATATCTGGGTCTTTGTGTATATCTGTGTCTGTGTAAATATCTGTGTCAGTATCTATATTTATATCTGTGTGTGTATATCTGTGCCAGTATCTATATTTATATCTGTGTCTGTATCTATATTTATATGTGTCTGTGTCTATATGTATATCTGTGTGTATATCTGGGTCTTCGTGTACATCTGTGTCTGTGTGTATATCTGTGTCTATATGTATATCTGTGTCTGTGTGTATATCTATGTTTGTATCGGTGTGTATATCTGTATCTGTGTCTGTGTGTATATCTGTGTTTGTATCTCTTGGTCTGTGTGTATATCTGTATATGTGTCTGTGTGTAGAAAGAGAGAAGTGCTCATGCCATTGTACAGAGCACAGGTGAGACCTCACTTGGAGTATTGTACGCAGTACTGGAGACCGTATCTCCAGAAGGATATTGATACCTTAGAGAGGGTTCAGAGAAGGGCTACTAAACTGGTTCATGGATTGCGGGATAAAACTTACCAGGAAAGGTTAAAGGATCTTAACATGCATAGCTTGGAGGAAAGACAAGATGGGGGGATATGATAGAAACATTTAAATATATAAAGTATCTGTGTCTATATCTGTGTCTGTGTGTGTATATCTGTGTCTGTATCTGTATCTATGTGTATATCTGTTATAAACAAAGAAACAATATCCGGGCACACATAGGTTCTATTCCAAACTGCAGACTATATTGAAGCTGAACAGGCGTGTGCTCATATATTCTTTCTTTGGTTTATAATTCATGAAGGTGTGGCAGTCGCCCTGGTCTGTGTGGCACCATAGAGTTGATCCCCTATCATGATTAGTGAGTGCCATTCCTCATTAAAACTATGTGTATATCTGTATCTGTGTATATTTCTGTGTCTGTGTGTATATTTGTGTCTGTATCTTTTTGTATATCCGTGTTTGTGTACCTCAATATCGGTGGGCCCTACACTAATTTTAGCAGAATATTAACGTACTAACTGCAATACTCCAAAAACTGGAGTATTGGCAAGATACCTGTGATAACACAGAGAACATAAACTAGAAACTAGTTCAATCAGCAAGTTAAGCACGGATTCGTCAGCACCACAGAGCCCACCAGGGATCATTCTCCCATTTGACCACCAAAGAACATACCCTGGGCCTGCAATAAGGGAAGGAGGTGGAGGGTAAAAATTTATTTTATTGATTTA